TAATTGAAGCCTTGAGCCATTGTTACAGTGAAAATAATACATAAGAGAGGCTGAGGCTTTAGAGAACAATGAGTAGCCAGATGTGAAATAATAAAGAAGAAGAAAGAAGAAGCGATTGTGTCATTGGGAGGACTCAAGATAGAAACCACAGCATTAAGTCACTGTGAGTGCTTGATGTATGCACAGAAGAGCATTGAACTGGAATCACATCAGTTACATTAATTAAGGTTATTTAGCCAGAAAAACTAAATCTCATCTAAACAAAGAGTATAGCCAGGTGTCTAAATGATAATACATCAGGAGGAAGCAGAAGTAGGAGGTGCAGTAGCACAGATGAGGGCCCAGCAGTGGATTTGCTTGGTTATTTCCAGCCTTGTAGGGAAATTGCCATTTTTTCCTAGTTATTTAAAGAGGTTTTTTTAGGCTTTTGGAGGAATAGTCATAAGGAAGTGGTAATAATGACTGTCTGTGACTGTCTGATACCTGCTGCTCAGGCTGTATCTACTGGATGTGGTAATGAGGAGTCACAGGCTATGGTCGTTCATCCTTGGCTGGAAGAACAGGCAGGTTCTTTGGACCAAAAATAACCCCCTTTGCCTGTGAATAAAGGGGAAAACCATCATTAGGACACAATTGCTTTAATGCTTCTGGAAAACAGCCCTAGAGAGGTTTGTGACACAGGGGATGGTCCTTTTCAGAAGTCATATACCAAGTCATGGCAAATTTTGTACCAATCTTAGACCATCCAGTGTTGTCTGTGCAGTATTTTGTGCTCTAGCAAGGCACTGAGTGTGCTCCCTTCCATCCTGCAGCAACTCAGCATGCTACAGGATTGAGCCCTTATTGCCTGGCTGCCTGGAGGATGCAGCAGGAGCAGCAGTAATGTCTTGGTTGACATAAAAGAAACCATTTCAGCAGCAGTTATGGACAGTAAAAGGTGAATCTTGTCTCTGTACTTCCAGGCCCCCAGAGAATTCAGGGAAGGGGATCATCATTTCATCTTCTTCTTTGTAAGCAGGAAGCAAATCACTTTATTTATCAGCTTGTGTTTGATGGTGGGATTTTTTTCCTTCCTTTAGTGGTATTTATCCAACTATAAATGATGCCAGTGTATGAAATGTGCTGAATTCATTACCAAGATTCCCTGATGCTAAGGGACATCTGAGATTTATCTTTTCAGAGCTTTGTAAGATCTGGGATGTGGGAACTGATGCTGCATTCTGCGTAAGATCCTAAGGAGCCTTTCCTGGCAATCAGCTGCTGGCAGGGATAAGGGAATGAATTGATTTAGCAATAATTGGATAGACTTCAATTGAAATGAATCCTAACTAAAGGGAAAGCGCAGGCAGAAGATAAATATAACACCTCTGAACAGTGCAGATTATGGAGATTAGACCCAAGCAAAGCCCAAGGTCAGTTTTCATCCTGAGGTTTTGCAGTTTACTTGGTTTAGAGAGTGAAGCTGAGCTGGGTGATGCTCTCTTGGCTTAAATTCCTCTTCCTTCTCTGGTTTCTAGAGCGTGGTTGGGTATTGGTCCTTGCAAGGACACATCTCATGGGCAGCAATACCTGTTGCAAGTGTTGATGAAATACTTCATTTATGGCTTTAGATGGAATTTGAGTCTGGAGCCAGAGCTTCAGTCTTTAACAGCACCCTTTTTATTCTGAGGGGGCATAGGAGAAAGCACAGTGTGTATTTGTGCATGCAGTGTGTGGTACCTAATGCCATCAAGACTTGTTGATGTGCCCCATGGAACAGGGAATGACTTCAGGACGGCTTTGTAGGTGTGAGCGTCTGCATGACAAGGATGGGACAGGGAGACACAGGATGAGATAGGGAGACATCCCTCTTCCAGAGCACATCTCCCTGTCTAGCACATCTTCAAAAATCAAGAGAGATTATGTTAGAGCCTGGTTTTGTCAGCCTCCCTTTGGCTCTTGGGATGACCATAGGGGACATCCTCTTGGAAGCTATGTCTGGCACATGAAGGAGGTGGCTGGGAATGACCAGCATTCATTTACCAAGGGTAAATCATGCCTGACTTCTGTGATGTCCTGTAAGGATGCTCTGGTAGATCTGTGGGTGAGACAGCAGCAGCAGATGCTGTCCTTGACTTCAGTAAGGCTTTTGAGATGCTGGGGAGGGACTCTTCATTAGGGACTGTAGTGACAGGACAAGGGGTAATGGGTTCAAACTGAAACAGGGGAAGTTTAGTTTGGATATAAGGAAGAAGTTCTTTACTGTGAGGGTGGTGAGGCACTGGAATGGGTTGCCCAGGGAGGTTGTGAATGCTCCATCCCTGGCAGTGCTCAAGGCCAGGTTGGACAGAGCCTTGGGTGCCATGGTTTAGTGTGAGGTGTCCCTGCCCATGGCAGGGGGGTTGGAACCGGATGATCTTAAGGTCCTTTCCCATCCTAACTATTCTATGATTCTATGATTCAGGAGATGGAGCCAGGCTTTCCAGAGCAGAGCGTGGCAGGATGAGAAAAAGCAGACACTGAAATGAGAGTTTCCAACTGGAATTAAGGAAGACCTTCCCACCAGGAGCTAATCAGGCCCTGGGCAGGTTGGCTGTGCGGTCTCCATCCTGAGATGCCTCAATACCTAAATGGACAAAGCCATGAACAGCTCAGTGTGATTTCAGCTTCATGCAGGGATTGGACTAGAGACCTCCCAAGGTCCTTTCCCTCCTTATCCCATCATTTTACCCAAGATGCTCCTGCCAATTGTTCACCAGGGAGCAGAACAGTTTTGCCATTTCATGGGATTCTTTCTTTTCCCTGCAAAGCTCATGTTGCACTTTCTGTGTGAGCTACAGAACAGATGGGAACCTCAAAGCTGCTCTTCAGCTTCATAATTAACATTGACCTTCTACAGCAACCTCCTGTGCTCCAGGAGCTCGGTTCTCTTTCCAAGCAGGAATGAGTTGATCCCCCCAACTTTTCCATGAGTTGTTATTGCCAGTGAGGAAGATGAAGTGCACACAGGTTGTCCCACTCATTATAAAAGCTTGATTATCTCTTTATTTCAGTATTAAACAGAGGAGAGCCAAGGACCAGATCTCTAAGGCAGCATTCGGCTGCCCAGCAATGGAATTGTCCTTCCCTCTCCTGCAGCATCCTGGGTTATTTATGATGCACTTCCAATTCCTGCAACAGATGAGACAGGGATCTTGCAGACAATCGTCTCCTCCTCTGCAAACCCTGATTCATTCTTCAGGCAGGTCCTGGGGGGGAAAGAAAGCTAATATGAGATCCTTTAAATAATCTCTCTCTGAAAGCATCTGGAGCTGTGCTGGGGTTGAATTAGCCATCTAAACTCCTCACCTTTGACATGTTGATGATGCTTTAGTGTGGAATGCTCTTTCAGTGTAGTTTTATGATTACGTATTACAAAGCAACTTGAGTGCTATTTTAATGCAGTTCTAAGATTATAAATGTCGTCTTCTCAGCATCCTCCATCCGGGCTTTGTCTGGTCCATACCCAGGGAGCAGCTTGGGGTACCCTGATACACAACGGACACATGGGCTTGTTTGTCCCCTCCTGATATCAACAGGTAGTTAAAGAAGTGGGAGTCTGTTACCTAAAGTCTAACCTTGTACTGTAGAGTCCTTTGCAGAGAGGAGAGCATGGACCCTCCACAAGGTCAACTCAATCACAGGATCATAGACTCACAGAGTGGTTTGGGTTGGAAGGGACCTTAAAGCCCATCCAGTTCCAACCCCTGCCACGGGCAGGGACCCCTTCCACTAGAGCAGCTTGCTCCAAGCCCCTGTGTCCAACCTGGCCTTGAACACTGCCAGGGATGGGGCAGCCACAGCTTCTCTGGGCACCCTGTGCCAGCGCCTCAGCACCCTCACAATAAAGAACTTCTTTCTTATATCCAACCTGAACTTCCCTTGTTTCAGTCTGAACCCATCACCCCTTGTCCTATTGCTACAGTCCCTGATGAAGATCCCCCCTCCAACATCCTTGCAGCCCCCTTCAGATACTGGAAGACTAAACTCAGGTGGTTCTGCCCATGTGTCTTTGAGGTCGAAATATCAATATGAAGATGATGCAGACCTTCCTTCTTCCTGCCCCATGGATCATTTCAGGCTGTAGGCAGGAAAGGAGGTTCTCCAAATGTGCATTTGTGCAGTACATCGCACTGGGAGACCTGCTGTGGGTGAAGAAATCCTGGCTGTCTAATTGCATCACTCTGGAATGGGGTTTCTTGTGCAGTAATGCATCCAACACCTATGACAGATGCTAGTTACAGATGCTGTTCTGAGCCCTTCTAGGGAAATCCTTAGGGTTTCTTTAAGCACTCCCTCCTCTAATGCTTTATTGCTGCTGAATTTGGGCTGTGACAAATGGGAAACTTTGCCTGACTCTGCAGTTTCTCTCTCCTCTCGCTCTGGTCCCGCATACAAATGCAGCAGGTCCCTGGGGAGAAGCCAAGACTGCACCACTCATCCGGAGTGACTGGCAGCACGGTGCGAGTGCCAAACCTGCGATTGCACACAGAGCCTGCAGTCCCATCGCTGCTTCCCAGGGCTTTGCTCTCCTTCCCTGAGTGTGAAGGCAATCATCGGGAGCGTCTTCATCTCTTTAGGACACATAAGCCAGTAGACACCAGTGGGAGACCTTGGCTTCCCCAGTTCCCCACTCAACCCCTCCATAGGTCTATGGCATCATCTTGAGCTGCTGAACCCATCAAGGAGAGGGAGCTCATCCGTCCCTAGGTTCGAGTGTAAGGTTGTAGTTGGTTGTTTAGAAGACAAGAATGTTCAAATGTGTGATTAGTCTGAAGAAATTCTGCATTTTTGTGTATTAATTGAGTTTGGAGGCTTTTGGATGAAGACTTTTCTGAATGTCACCATGAGAAAGGCAGAAGAGCAATCACCTTCATAGTGGTTGCAGACAGCTCTCTTCTTTGACCTCCCTTGTCAACATGGGCTTGAAAGCTCAGCAGACCCCGTTTGAACTAATCTGCTGCTCTTTTCCTCTCTTTCAGCAGCTGGGAGCAGAGATGGACAAGATACTGGAAGCCGTGGTGATGTCCTCATACCCCAACAACGTGAAGCAAGGGCTCGTGAGGCGCGTCATTGAGGCAGCGAAGCAGCCCATGGACAGCGAGCAATGCTGGTCCATGCTGGAGCTGTCTACCAAGCTTTATCTCACAGGGGACACCAAGTATAAAAGAGAGATTGGGAAAGAGGTTTTGGAGGTCTATGGCCACTATCACCCAGAGGAATTTGAGGAGTTCTTCAACGTCCGCTTCCTGCTGAGTCTCCTTCAGGAAGGTTATGGACCTCTGGGGAAGAGAAGCCATTATGTACTCGATTATATCCAATTAGGACTGCAGTTTGTGCTGGACAGCCCATCAGCAAACAGCATCTTCAGCTTACTGAGGATCGAGGTGCTCCGGAAAGTCTGCGAGAGACCGAGCCCCAAGCAGTGTGCGAAGATCAGCAAACTCTTAACCCAGCATCCTCAGTGCATTCCCACTGGGAAACACCAGGTCTTGTTCTGTCAGCAGCTGATCCGGTGCATTGGGCAGTTCCAGTGTGTTTCCGAGGGGGAAGAAGCCATCATGGAGTTCTTGGAGCAGGTGAACAAAGTGAGTGGTCTGCTGCAGAGGATCTGGAGGGCTCAAACCTCAGCCATCCTGCCCTCTTTGAAGGAGCTGTTCACCATCATTTCTTCAACAGGTAATGGAAAGAAACAGAAAGAAAACTAAAAAAGGGATGGGAAAGTGAATGTTGGCTCTAATGAAGTTGAATTTCTTTAGTTTGATATCTTCCATGGGTCTCATCAGCTCTAGAAGTGCAGCCACAGCTGAAATGTAATGAACAAGCATCCCTTAAAGTTACCCAGGGCTTTAAGCTAGGAAAACAATTTGTTCCAAACCTCTGTGTAAAACAGTGGGGTTTTGGACAGAGGGCAATGAATAGTGAGTGAGCAATGGTGTAGGAGCAACACAGAGAAGCTTGATGAGTGCACATCCATTGGCTGTACTGGGCTTCACCTAAAATGCCTCCCAGTACCTAAAGGGAGCCTACAGGAAACCTGGAGAGGGGCTTTGGAGAAGGGCCTGTAGGGACAGGCCAAGGGGAATGGCTTTAACCTGCCATAGGGGAGTCTGAGATGAGCTCTTAGGCAGAAGCTCTTCCCTGTGAGGGTGCTGAGGCGCTGGCACAGGGTGCCCAGAGAAGCTGTGGCTGCCCCATCCCTGGCAGTGTTGAAGGCCAGGTTGGACACAGGGGCTTGGAGCAAGCTGCTCTAGTGGAAGGGGTCCCTGCCTGTGGCAGGGGTTGGAGCTGGATGAGCTTTAAGGCCCCTTCAACCCAAACCAGTCTGGGATTCAATGACACCGCACAGCCTGTACACACGAGTTAACTGCATTGCAATATTTGCAGCACCATTTTGTGTGCTCAGCATTTTCCAGCATGAGCTGAGCTTAATGGAAAGCTCTTTATGTGCAGCTGGTGAGTGGCACTCAAAGGCTTTTAGAAATGTCACTCTCTTACGGCTGACTTGATAGGACCCCACAGCCTGATCCCTACTAGAAACTAGGGACAATGCTAAGGAGTCTAGGCACCAACCTAGAGATAGAAGCCCTACTGTCTCTCTGGCTGATGATCATATCTTAAGGTGGGACAGAAGATATTTAACCAACTTCTGGGGCCTTTAGGTTACTGCAGAGGGTCTCAGAAGGTTTTTGGAGGTACCAGTGCCATGAAAGGCTGGACTCTGGCAGCAGATGAGCTCCTGCTGCAGCTATTGCTAAGCCCACGAGAAGGATTTTTCAGTGCCCTCTGTATGAAAACCTCTTCCTTTGGAAGGTGCTCCATGAGGCAAACCTGCAGTTACATCTCACTGCGACTATTTGCAATACTTAGCATAAAGAGAGGAAATTTGGGACCCAAGATCTTGGGCCTCTGATTTGCTCCTCCCTTTGGGTTGTGTATGGCTTCATGTAACAGCCCATCTGCTATGATCCGGCCTCATGATGTGCTCCATTTATGTAGGCTTTTAGAAACAAGAAGTGACCTCATGTGCCTGGTTTTCCTGGTGACTAACATCTTCATTGCTGGCACTCATCCATGTCTTTGCAGAGGAGCAGGAAGCACCATCCAATGCCTTGGCCAGCGTGGTCCAGTTTGTGCCTCTGGAGCTTATGGATGGTGTTATAAGAAACCTAACCAACGATGACAGCATCACTGATGTGCAAATGATGACGGCCATTGGCAGGTAGGAGAGGCTGCATTAGTGAGCATCATTCTCAGTTCAGAGAAAAACCTGCCCCAAAGCTGCACTTAGCTCCTCTGTGTGGTTTTATTCCAACCAGGTTGGCTGCTGCTGTCTAGTGATGAGTGTGTGGGCAAAAAGGGACCTTCTGGATCTTTACTTCCAGCTCTGAGGGCCCAGAGAACTACAATAAAGACTGACTATTATTATTATTATTATTATTATTATTAATTTGTTTGACTTGGTTGGTTTTGTTGAGTGTTTTAAGAAATAAGTAGTGTTACAGGAAGAGGTGATGGGTTCAAACTGAAACAGGGGAAATTCAGGTTGGATATAAGGAAGAAGTTCTCTACTGTGAGGGTGGTGAGGCACTGGAATGGGTTGCCCGGGGAAGTTATGAATGCTCCATCTCTGCCAGTGTTCAAGGCCAGGTTGGACAGAGCCTTAGGTGACATGGTCTAGTGTGAGGTGTCCCTGCCCATGGCAGGGGGCTGGAACTGGATGATCTTAAGGTCCTCTCCAAGCCAAACCATTCTATGATTCCATGTTGACCTCTGTTTCCCTTCACAAAGACACCATCCTCAATCATCAGTCATATCTAAAAGTCTTGGAAAGGGAGGTGTGCCCAACTGTTTCAATAATCCCACCTTGACCTTTGTTGGGTGAATATGGTGCTGCTGGTCTGGATCTTAGTGATGTATGGTATTTATCCCAGCCCTCTGTGTAAGTAGAGTCAATGGAGACCTTATCAAGGCGTGATGAAGAGTAGTGGGTGCGATACTACCTGATAGGTTAGACCGGGTCTTTGCAGTGCCACTGCCCTCTTTGGCATCACTAGATCTTCCTTGTGTACTTGTGTTCAAGTCCTACAGCCCTTCTGTGCTCCAGTTCCTTGCTCCACACTCACTTAGGGGTATCTTTGATGATCTTAAGGGTCTTTTCCAACCTAAATGAATCTGTGATTCTACCTTCAACCCATGCTTTCCTTAGAGGTCTACATTTAAATAGGTGTTCACATACAGTAACACATGCACTTAACCCAAGGGATCTGCTGGAACTTGATCTCACTGGAAACATGTCTTTTCCTTTTCTTATTATAGGATTTGTGTGTGTGTCTCCCCAGTAAGGTTACATGACAAAACCACACATTATTCCTGATGGGAACTTTACGTATGCAGAAAGGACTTGCTTCTCTTTGACTTGCTGGAGAAGGTCATGGTTTTCCCACAGTCCAGAGCAACCCAAGACAAAAGATGAAGTTATCAGCCCAGTTCTTAACCCTCTTTCTCCCTCTTTTTCCCCTTCTGGCCACCTGCTGCTGTGAGCTCCAGGCAATAAATCCTCTACGAGCACCAGTGGCTAAATATAGAAGTTGCAAAATCAATTGCATCATTCCTTAAAGCAGTCTTTGTCACGCAGAGGGATGAGTAAATGATTGCTTAGAACTAGCCAAACATTAAGCAGAGCCTGCAAAATGTAATTAAGATCACTTAGGAGAAAGGCAGAAGGTTTGGCAGCGTGTTTATGGTAGATGGGTGCCCCAGAAAACAGCAGAACAATCATCAGCCTTTGGATGAATGTGTGCTCCATGCCTAGAAAATCAAGGAAAAACATACAAGTTGAAAGGATCTTTCAGCTTAGGACCCAGATCTCTTCCTCCAAAGTTTGGGATTGGGAGTTACTAGCAGGGGAATAAACTGAACGTGGGGTTGAGCTTCTGATCGAGCGTTTGAAGAGCAAATAGAGGTAACAAAAAGCAAGGCTGGCACCTGCTGGTGTAAGTGAACGCCACAGTCTCTTTTAGAGAGTTTCTTATTATTGAGGGCTTTTTGGAGGCATTTTGAGGAAGGTGTTATGGTAGGTCCGAGGTCGGATTTTATCCTGATATTTTCAATCACTGGAGGGGAAGATAACCTCATGTTAGGAGTAGTCATAGTTTAGAACATTTGTCATGTGAAAAGGGAACAAAAGGTGCTCGACAGAAGAAATGGATCTGCAGTTTGAAGGGGGAGTTTCTGCAGCTCGGTTTGACAACAGGAACTCTAGGACTGTACGTGCAAGAGGGAGGAGAAGGGAAAAAGGCACATGAGTGGTACCGAGCATGCAAAAAGGGGAGGTTTTTATGCTCAAGTTCTCCCATTGACTAAATGTTTCTTGTATTCTGCTCCATCTGGTAAAACCTTCATGAAAACAAAGTTGCTTTATGTGCTTCCAGTATCAACTAACTCGGTGCAGAAACGTGAGGTTTTGTCTTTTAATTACATGTAGTTTAGACGAGGCCTCAGTGCCATGGGTTAGTGGTGGCCTTGGCAGTGCTGGAGGATGGTTGGACCTGATGAGCTTAAGGGGCTTTTCCAACCTGGTTGGTTCTGTGCTTCTGTGATTTTAGAGTTTGTCTCTTTTTTAATAAACTCTATTAAAGTGCATCCATGACTTCAGAAGTACTCACTCATTGGTTCTATTACTTGTCCTGGGGTTGTCTATGTTCAAAGAGCCCATGTCCCGATGAAGAAGGCATCTGCTATCACACACTAATGCAGACACTTGCTACCTCTGGAAATCAGGATCTGAGCTTTTACAGGTTTAGCCTACCAAACCAATGGCTCCTTTGGAAAATGAGGGCCCTGGCTTCCAAAGCATTTGTGGATCTTGCATCGTGCAAAGGGTAATGTGAATTTAAAGTGTAATTTCTTCCTTGTGTAGCAGCGCAGACAGCAGTAGGAAGGACTGCAACTTAGCCACTAGTGCTGGTAAATGATGGCTTAAAGAGGAAAAGGTTATTTTATGGCTTTGCAAAAAACAGACAGGATAAAAGGGACCTTTGGATCTCTGGATCCATCTCCCTGCTTTATAGGCATTGACATCATAGATCCTTTTAATGGATGTTCAACTACACCGCTCAAAGCAGGAAGGGCTTTTGCTCCCCCTGCTCTTCTTTTATAGCTGTTCCACCTTTGGGTTGCTTTAATGGTTCGAATCTCTCCTCTAATAGGCAGCCTATATATATTTCCGGCCATCTTATGCCTCATTTGATCTTACACCCACATAAATAGCTGAAATAACTCTTTTGCCTCCCTGGTGTTTATTCCTTCGATGTATGCAGGCAGAGCAGTCCCTTCCCATCTCTGCTTTCCTGTGGCTGTGCTAACCAAGCCAAGCTATTTTGAGCTTTCCTTACAGGAAATGTTCTTCATTTCCCTGAGCACCTTAACAGGCTTTTTCAGCACCTGCTCCCACTTCACTTCATTAGTGTTGGACATGGATGGTGATGTTTGCACATCATGTTCCGTGTGCCTTGGACATCAAGGCCTTGGACAACAGCATGGGAGGCTCTTGTTTTGCCGTAGAAAAGAAGTTTTACTTCTTGTCTTTTCCATGGCTGTTGTTGCACTGGGAACTCGTAGTCAGCTGGTATCTGGCTGATTGCCTTCAAGCAGAAGATTTACTGTCATGTAGCATCCATTTCTTGTGCCTTGCGTGTGTTTTGAATCATTACATTTCCTCCCACTTCTGCATTTCTAATGCTCAGGGTCTCCTTCGTGCTACCTTGATCCTCTTCTTGTTTTGATGATGCCTCCCAGCTTTGCATCATCACCGATTTCACAGCCATGTTGTGTTTGTGCTAACATTAGGCCCTGAAGAATGTTGCTTGTGATCTCCTTTCAGAAAGCCAGTCAGATATGATCTACTTCTGTCCTTCGACTAGAAATTCATATATCCTCTCAAACCTGACTTTGGCACCTATGGTAACTCCCTGTGACATGGTATTCCTTCTTCCCACCTATGCTCTCATTGCCTGTTTTCATTATAGGAATTGTCTTCCTATTCTTTCCACATAAAACACCATACCAAAGTTAATGGAGTCATTAAACCTCACCAGAGTTGAGTTTTACATGATGGAAATCATCTCCTCTTGGCTGGAGTCCATGAGCTCTTCGTGTTTCATTTTCCTATCAGCTGTTGTTGCTCTTGTTTCCATTCTCAGATCTTTTACCTGCCTCCTCTGTCACCCTGATCAATTCATTTCTCTTGCTGAAAATGAAGGCAGAGGAGGTGTTTAGTGTGGAAGGCACATCTAGAGGCCATATCATACCTTTAATCACTATCACACCCTCCATAGATAGTGATTGCATGGCTTCCCTTATTCTCTTCTAATGCAAATGTCTGTGGAAGCTTTTCTGGCATTTGCTTAATTATCCAGCTTTGGTATTTCTCAACATCCCAATAAATTCTGCTCTTCAGGCTTTCTTTGCTCCCTAGCCTTTTGTTTTTCCAGGTCCTTGAAGACTTTAAACCACGACATTCCTACTCTTTGCCTTGTCGTGGTTACTTATCTGTGCTCCCTTCATACATTTTGCACAAGATAGTCTAATAAGCAGAAGGGACTGATTGGGAAAAATAGGTGGACTGAGGTGAGAAACTGAGCATCTGGGATATCTTCAAATCAAAGGTACTGAAATGGTTAGCAGAGTTCGACCCTTGGAAATCCCAAGCCTTAGTTACTTCCCATCTTTGTTGAACGTCAAATTTCGACAGAAACAATGTGTCATCACTTAGTCTGAGGTTATTTGCTTAGGAATGACTTCTGCAAAGCATTTATAACTTACAGAAAGATGACAACGTGTTGCTGGAGTGGCTATAGTTGAAATATGTTAGCTGTGACATTCAGGAATATCTGGCTTCCATTAGAGTTACCAGTATTTACTGGGTTTTCATGTGCTTCTGGAAATTGGTGTTTCCCCACAGAGAATTAAAAGCTCTGAATCTGAGTGCTTTTTCCTTACCAGTAACAATGCAGAGGTTCATTGGACAGAGCCTTGGTGACATGGTTTAGTGGGAGGTGTCTCTGCCCATGGCAGGGGAGTTGGAGCTTGATGATCTTAAGGTCCTTTCCAACCCAAACTATTCTATGGTTCTATGATCATTTGTTTTCTAATGGTGACAATGCAGAGACCCTGATCAACACTTCACAGAGGTGGTATATAGAGTTTCAGTGTTAAAACTGGAACTCAAGTTGGCTGTAGTCAGTGGAAGAAATCCCCACTTGAACATGAGCCGGCTTCAGTGTGCGCTTGCAGCCCAGAAAGCAACCGTATCCTTGGTTGCATCAAAAGGAGCGTGACCAGCAGGTTGAAGGAGGTGATCCTGCCCCTCTGCTCTGCTCTTGTGAGACCTCACCTGCAGCATTGTGTGCAGTTCTGGTGTCCTCAACATAAAAAGGGCATGGAACTGTTGGAACAAGTCCAGAGGAGGCCACGAGGATGATCAGGGACTGGAGCAGCTCCTGTATGGAGACAGGCTGAGGAAGTTGGTGCTGCCCAGCCTGGAGAAGAGAAGCTGCGTGGAGACCTCAGAGCAGCTTCCAGTGTCTGAAGGGGGCTTATAGGGGTGCTGGGGAGGGACTCTTCATTAGGGACTGTAGTGATAGGACAAGGGGTGATGGGTTAAAACTGAAACAGGGGAAGTTTAGATTGGATATAAGGAGGAAATTCTTTCCTGTTAGGGTGGTGAGGCACTGGCATGGGTTGCCCAGGGAGGTTGTGAATGCTCCATCACTGGCAGTGTTCAAGGCCAGGTTGGACGAGGCCTTGGGTGATATGATTTAGTGTGAGGTGTCCCTGCCCATGGCAGAGGGGTTGGAACTGGATGATCTTAAGGTCCTTTCCAACCCTAATTATTCTATGATTCTATGATTCTATGATTTTATGGACTTGGCTCTGATTCTCTGGTCTATGTGGTTCACCACAGCATGATGATGACAGTGGGGTAATTCCACTTCAGGCTCTGTTGTGCTTTGAATAACATGTGAAATGCCTTATTAAGAGCCTGTCTCTTACCCAGTTATCCCACTAGTCACGAATTTGGAGGAGGCTTATCTCAGAGTGGAGATTGGCTTCCACAATCTGTGCATTAAATTTACTTGAAGAGCTTGTATTTGATTTCAGGATGATCGACTGGGTGTCCTGGCCCCTGGGCAAGCACATAGACAAGTGGATCATCGCTCTGCTGAAGGGTTTGGCTGCAGTGAAAAAGTTCAGCATCTTGATTGAAGTTACTCTTTCTAAGATTGAAAAGGTCAGTGGGCTCCTTTAAACATGGATGTGACCAATAGACTTGTCCCTGAACCTCAGGTATCTTCTTGCCTTTCAATTGAATGAGGACGAGATGTGACTTGAGATGTGCCTTGCAAATGCTGCTTTTCTGTGTATGGGGTGATGGGCTGATGCTGTTTTGCAGCTAAAACTTGTTCTCCAAAACAACCTGCAGTTCTTTAGGTCTTGGTGTGCATAGGTATTGATATCTTAAAGGTTATGAAATGGAAGAAGCCAAGGATTTTCACACCAACCAACCAGTTTCCTTCCCCAACTATGGAGCTTTTCTAACGCCTGCCTTTGGGAATGTGACTTGCTCTCCATCAGCTGTGTCTGGTTGGCATAGGCAAAATACACACCAGTGAGCATATTAACTACACACAGATCAGTTTGAAAGCCTGTGCCCTGGCCTTAGTTCGTTTACTACTGCAGGTAAAGCCCCCACTGCCATTTCCATCACCTCTTTCTGCAATGAGTGCTTGGTGCTCTCTGAAAACTGTGTCATCAAGGGCTGAAATTGGTCACCACTTTAAAGCATTTTCCATGCTGTGATCCTGCTGTTCCCTCCTTTGTATCATGGGGATAACACCAGGCTGAGCCTCCAGTGGAAGTCACCGTTGAAATTATTAAGACTGTGATTATTAGTATTGGAACATGATCAATAACTGCAGTTGTCTTTGTGATCCCCCCATGTGCACTGAGCAGTGGGAGAATAGCCAAGCATCTCTGGCTTTTCTTTATCTTTCCTTTTGTACTTTAATGCAGAGGAAAAGGGCACAGCCCTTAAAATAACATGAGTTTTAAAACTCTTAGAAGTATGGTAGAGGGCATTGTCAACTTATGCCATTGTCTGTGAAGTAGGATAAATACCATTACTTAGCCTTTGAAAAACACCTTTGCTTTCTATCTGCCTGAAAGGTTAGTGGCAAAGATCCAAATACCACAATAAACCAGAAAGTACAGCATCCCCCTGTGCTTGCAAGGCCTCATCCATCAGGAGGTGTTGAGGTGCAGCGGGGTTACAGAGGGGGTGAGGATAACCCACATGGTATTTTTAGGATGCTCTGGATAGGAGACGACTGGAGACCAGGCTGCAGGCTGCTTGCTTCAACATCCAGCATTGAGCAGAAGCAGAGCAGCAGCTGTGGGAGATGCCCAGTGCCTCTTTCCTGCTGGTCCCTTCTCCCATGTGTTGCGGTGCCATCCTACCTTCTCATTTGCTTCCTTTCTCCCCCACCAGGTCTTCTCCAAGTTGCTGTACCCCATCGTGAGGGAGGGGGCTTTGTCCGTCCTGCAGTACATGCTGCTGAGCTTCCAGCACTCCCACGAGGCATTTCACTTGGTAAGGCTGGGCTGCTCTTGGGTGAAGGCATTGCCCTGAGTGTAACCGTGATGTGGGGCAACGGGGGTGGAGGGCAACCTGAGGTGCTGAGTTACTGGGCGATATTTCCCTCATCTGCTTGATTTCAGTGACTGATGTAAACCCAACCCTGTCCATCCACCTGTAGCCTGTCCTGGGAGATGCAGGTAGCCTCTGGTAACCTCTCCTGCAGCCCAAACAGCTTTCAGAGCATCACAAAGCTGGTGATGAGATGTGGAGGGAAGACCTGAGTCTAAAAGGAGTAGTTTGCCACAGACAGAGCAATCACCCTGTGTCAGAGAGTGAAGTGCAGGGAAGTAAGGCTTTGCTTTCTCCTCTGATAATTCCTTCCATTTCTCTTGAGCTTTACCAGCCTGATGGCTCATCTCCAGGGATAAATCGGTATAAAGCTGGCTGGGGCCTGGCTCTTCCAGATTTGAAATGTGTGCAGTGTGTGCATGCTCCACTTTTCATCTATGGCGCTCTACCAGCTGGAGGAGTGATCTCTAGGGCAAGTGCATCCCTTTGGTCCTCTCCCAGCTTCAAAACCCAACAGCCAAAGGTGCAGATGATGCAAATATATTGGACTGCCTGTCATGCCACACTGCAGGTCCCATCAGCAGTGGCTGTAGTGCTCTTGCAATCATTTTATCCTGGTGTTTGCCAGCCTTGCAGGTCGAAGAGGAGGATCCCCTTTTTCCTGCCCTAGCTCTTAGACCACTTGCTTCTCCCAGTCACTCTCCTTTGTGCCGAGCCATTTGTACAGCCGTGGGCTGAGCTTTTTATTAAAAGGAGCCCAGGTGAAACCCAGGAAATCCTAATGGTCTGCATTGCCCACCTTGGTCTGGGTCTGGGACAACCACAGACATGCATTTGCCTGGAGAAGGAAAGGGAAGGAGGTAGAGGGGTGACCTGGGACAGGAAAGTGAGCAGGCTACACCGACCCAGGCTGGCTTATGTTGTAGTTTTCTATTAGCAGGTATAGAAGATACAGCCTCATATTTATCCCCACCCTTTCAGCTGAGGTGTGATAGATGTTGCCACTCAGGCTTTGGGATGTGCTAGGTGAAACCTTTGCACTGAGAGCAACTTGGAGGGCTCATGCAGTGGAAGACTGGGAGTATATTCTTAAACAGCCCTTGCTGTTTCCTAAGCAGATTCCTGACTGTCCATTGGACTCAGTGAGCCCCATGCCACCTGTGACTTCAAATTGTCACCAACACGTGTCACCCATTACCATTTCTTCAAGTGATGCATCATCTTTCAAAGCGTTGTTCAGCATCAGTGCAATAGGACTCGAGGACTGGATCAGAACACTTCCACTTCATGAATTCTCCACTGTTAAAAGCACAAAACTACTTTTAACAGCATTGTAGTCTTCTCTTTTCACTCCCATAGTGACATTTTATAGTTGATTTTGCTGTTGACACTAAAGCACTGCTCTGCTTCTTGCTGGTGTTGCCCCTGGAATGCTGTAAATAGACAGCAAGACTGAAAGCAAAGGCATGCTTGCAGTGATTGAACTGATAAAAGCAGCAATGGAAAACTACTCCTATTAATGTCTGATTGGATGCTTTTCCATTCAAGCCCTTCCATTTGGCTTTGCGCCTGAAGTTCACAGGATAAACAGATAAGGCTGGAATAAAGCAGGGCTGGCCAACGTTTTCAACCACTGCTTTTTCATTCCTCAGCTGGAGACACTTTAAATGAGCCTGGATTCCTTGAGAAACCCTTTGGTTTCTATAAATAGGCTCATTCCAACACCTTGTCTTCAGTTGGGCGTCCGGAGTTTGAAACACTCCAAAAGCTGTCAGTTGCTCTTGGCTTGAAGTTTCCATCTGCAGCCCAGCGAGCACAAATCCCCTCCCTTATGTATGAAAAACCAGGGAACAAACGTGTGTTTGCGTCTCATCTCCTTGTGTTTGCCCTGGCACTTTGGAAGGGCTTTGGCAATGGTTCCCACTACAGCTTGGCAAAATATTGATGCAGAAAATGGGACTTGTTTGCTTTCCCAACAAAATTGGAAAGGAAGTAGTTAAAATCGCCAAGGTTTTGAGCAGAAAAAGGGAGAAAGGAGAGAGGAAGATGAAGGAAGAGAGGACCAAGAAATGGTTGGATTTGGGATCCTGAGCCTTCATTCCAGGATTGTTCTGGGGTAAAAATAACCTCATATAAGCATGACAAAGGTTGCGTAAGCGCCCAGGGTCACTCTAGCTCTTGGGCAGGGTTGGAAATGGGTTATTCACTGTGGGTGCAGCAGAGGGTGCCCGTGAACAATGCATGGTCTGCGTTCGTCTGCGTGTTCGTTTCCAGATGAAAGCGTGATAACGAACGTGCTGTTTATGCGCCTGTCGCCACCCATCCGACCACGGCGATCCCAGTTTGGTTTATACAGTGTAAAATGCTAGTACAGCACAACAGAAAATGCTTCTTGCAGGCTGATTTGTCTGTCTTGTAGGTCTGAATCCCTGCACTTGGCAGCTGGTGTATAATTCTCCTTTCCACTGTAGGTGTGTGATTTATAGACTCATGGAATCAAATAGGTTGGAAAAGCCCTTTAAGCTCATCCAGTCCAACCGTTCCCCAGCACTGCCAAGGCCACCACTGCCCCATGGCACTGAGGCCTCGTCTCCATGGGGTGTGAACACTTGCAGGGACGGTGACTGCAGCCCTGCCCTGGGCAGCCTGTTCCAATGCCTGAGCACCCTCTGGGGCAGGAATTGTTCCTCAGCTCCATCTAAACCTGCCCTGGTGCAGCTTGAGGCCGTTTCCTCTTGTCCCATCCCTTGTTCCTTGGGAGCAGAGCCCAGCCCCTCCTGGCTCCATCCTCCTGTCAGGCACCTGTAGGCAGCCATCAGGTCCCCCTTGAGCCTTCTCTTCTCCACACTGAACCCCTCCAGGCCCTGCACCAGCTCCATTGCCCTTCTCTGGCCCTGCTGCAGCACCTCAATGTCTCTCTTGTAGTGAGGGGCCCAGAACTGAACACGGGATTTGATGTGCGGCCTCACCATGATCACCGAGATTTAGTGGACAATGATAATCGCAGCATGACAAAGCAGCAGCATGGACCTGCAGGTGCCATGCACCATGAAACCCTCCAAGGTCTATAGCATTTGCACTACTGAAGTCAACAGAAGAGTTGCTGTTGAGCTCACAGGGTGAAGGACGAAGTCCAGAATGGCACTGCAGTCAAGTCCTGTTGACTGTCCTTTCTTCCTGGGAGTGAATTCCGTTCCCCCACATGTGTGATGAGTAATTTGGAGTCATTCCTGATGCAGTGAATTTCCCTTTTCCAGCTGCTCCCTCACATCCCCAGGCTGGTGGCCTCTCTGAAGAAGGAGGACTCCAATTCTGCCACCAGCTCCCTGGAGCAGCTGGCTGAGCTCATCCACTGCATGTTCTTCCGCTTCTCAGGATTTCCTGATCTCTATGAACCAGTCCTGGAAGCAGTTAAGGTAAGACATACTCCTCTCAGTCATTTTTCTGTTCTCCGTATGGAAATGGCATTCTAGTTTGCAGCCTGGTGCATAGGGACCATGCTACTGGTAGGGATGGCTTAACCTTAATGCCTCAAGCTGTGGTAGGAGAAAGGGATCAACATCCTGAGCTTAAGCCCCATGTAGGCAAGTTGATGGAAGATGCTTCTGTTATGGTGGACCAGCAGAAGTTCTGATTGTGCCTATGGGGTTTAGGTATGATTTCAATATTGAATGCCTCTAGAGGACTAATACTAGCAGTTTATACAGTGTAAAATACAACATAGCACACCAGACAACACTTCTTGTAGGCCAATTCGTCTGTCTTGTAGGTTTGAATCCCTGTACTTGCAGTGTTAGCAGCTAAACACTTGCATGGATGCATGTTCATGCAAAGAGCAGGGGAAATGAGTTCCGTGAGCGCCTCTAGCAGAAGAGTGTTGTGATTGCCCATTACTAACTCTTCACATGGAATGATTTGTAACATGGATCTCTCTTTCCAAGGCTCTTCCTGTTCCAAATGAAGACCGGATTAAACATCTCCTGGGACAGAATGCCTGGACCTCGCAGAAGAACGAGCTGGCCTGCTTCTACCCACGCCTGGCATCCAAATCAGAGACGGGAAAGATCGGGTTAATAAACTTGGGAAACACCTGCTACATGAACAGCATCATACAGTCTCTTTTCATGGCTTCAGAGTGAGTCTTTGCACCCTTGCTTCCACTCAAGACTTGCTCCAGGGGTTGCTGACCCCCTCGGTGTTCCACATCCCACTTTTCCATCCTATGGGCTGCATCTCTGCTTTTCCTTTGCAGCTTTCGGCATTCGGTGTTGAGTCTGACCGAGGGCAACTCCCAGCCTCTGATGACAAAGCTCCAGTGGCTCTTTGCGTTTTTGGAGCACAGTCAGGTAATTATTTCATGTTCTAGTTATTTGTTTGGACTGTCGGCTGCGGAAAGGCTCGTCTCCAAGTTGCTTCCTGTCGACTCCAACGGGCTGATAAGGAGCTGTGGATCTTGGTGGGTTCTTAGAACGGGACCGGTCTTGTTTATAGGAGGGAGGCTAATTTTGGGGGTGGAGAAGGCGAGCTCCCATCACCCATGCAAGTGAGCTGTGTTCACACCCGGCTCCCTGTCTTCAGTCTTCCTGGGTTGGGCTGATGTAATAACTAATAGCTTTGACAATCAAGCCCTTCTGGCAATAGCTTACACATGTGGCCAGCTGAAAAGCCTGTTGGTATAAAGCAGAGGGTTTTGTTTCTTGCTGTGCAGCAGGGAAAAGACTGGAGCAGCTCATTTGTCCTCTTGCTTCACAGCAAAGCAGAAATCATGGGTGAAAATTGCCTTCAAAGGGGCTTTGTTAAAAGAATAGTAATAAAAATCCCCTTTAGGTTCCTGATGCTTTGAATGGTCTATATATGATGGAAAATCAAATACAAATAACACCCTTAAACAAATGAATTATGAATGCTTTCTGGACAAACATTATATTTAACATGGGTGACTCCTGGGGATACAGCTAACTCGTATCTAGCTCCTCTCTTAAAAAGCCTTTCTTTGTGTTGCTAGAAATACATGATTTTGAAAGCCCAGTGATTTTTCCCTTGCTGTGAACCTGGTCTTTATTTCCCAAGCCTTGGCTGCCAGAGCTGGCTCGTTGCATTGTGGTCTTACAACAGATGATACCTTTTGGGGTTAAAGTATAGGCAACCTGTTAAATTTAACATTTAGCCATGGAAGAGTCTAGGTTTTGATGGCAGGTTGGGGTGTGTGTGTGACCTGTGATGAGCAAATACAGAAGCAAATGCAATTTACTTGTTGTGTAGTTTATGGGTAATAACTTCCTGCTCATTTCCTAAGGGCCTTCTTAGTTATTTTTCTTCTTCGGGCTGTTCTTAAAGCCGCTTCTTTGCCAAAGATGTGTCTTCTTCCATGTTAATGAGACAGCTGCTTCCTAATGGCAGTGATTACATTAACTGGAGATGCAGATTACCTGCCTGCAGTGATTGGGATGACAGGTGGAAGTTTAGTGGATTTTTTTGCTTTGGTTTTGTTTCTTTTTATTATGAGAGGATTTGGTGAGAGAGATCCTGCTCGAATTAAATGGAGCATCAAATTCAATTCAGGCTGAGTTAAGTAGAAATCTCTGGGTCAGGCCAATAAACCATTTAAAATGGAAGGAAGAAATAAACATGTGGATAGTTTATGGAGTATATGTAAAATAATGTCTGAAATGAATCCTGGCTTGCAGCAAAACATGAAAGTCTTCTTCCTGCGCACCGAGATTAAGCTTTGTAGGAATAAAAAGGGAGACCTTATAGGCACACAAGTGCACCCTGCTCCCACTGAAGTAGCCAGGAAGACCCTCCTCTCCCCTACCCATCCTCCTGTGTGAACAGAATCATAGGATTATTTGGGTTGGAAAGGACCTTAAGATCATCCAGTTCCATCCTCCTGCCATAGGCAGGGACACCTCACACTAGACCATGTCACCCAAGGCTCTTGAACACTGCCTTGTCAACTGGCCTTGAACACTGCCAGGGATGGAGCATTCACCACTTCTCTGGGCACCCTGTGCCAGCACCTCAACACCCTCACAGTAAAGAACTTCTGCCTTATATCCAATCTAAACTTCCCCTTCCAGTTTGATCCCATCACCCTTTGTCCTGTCGCTATGGAGGGTCCCCAAGATTAAATGCATTTCTTCTTCTGTCTCGCTGCCAGCGACCTGCCATCTCACCCGAGAGTTTCCTCTCTGCCTCCTGGCCCCCCTGGTTCACCCCTGGTGCTCAGCAGGACTGCTCGGAGTATCTCAAGTACCTGTTGGACCGGTACGTGGCCATCACCATCAGTCTGGAGTCTGCTGACAGTGATATCCCTAGACCAGACATAATGTTTAATGCTGACCCATGTGCAGGTGGCTGAGACCTGGAGGAGGTGGGAGAGTAGAGGCTTGGGGTGACAGATTGTGAGAGCTGTCCAGGGCTCCCTGATAAAACCCTGCTTGGGCTGGCTTAGGGATAAGGTCAGAACTGGTTTGGGTTGAAGGGACCTTAAAGCTCATCCAGTTCCAGCCCCTGCCATGGGCAGGGACAACTTCCACTAGAGCAGCTTGCTCCAAGCCCCTGTGTCCACCTTGGCCTTGAACACTGCCAGGGATGGGGCAGCCACAGCTTCTCTGGGCACCCTGTGCCAGCACCTCAGCACCCTCACAGGGAAGAGCTTCTGCCTAATGAGTTGTACCAAGTTTGGATTTGCATGACAAGCCACTCAGCCTCCTCTGTAAAATGTTCATTCCTGCCTTTCTCTTACCTAGAAATCCCCAGTTTCTGATGCCCCATTGATATCTCTACAAGTAGGGGACAATGGCACACAGGGACCTCAGGTTCCTAAATCCTGCTCAACTCCTCCCCACCTTCCTTCCATAGTACCAGACCCCTGGGCATGCGCAGGTTAACCCACATTAACCCCTTGGAGAGAAGAACAGAACCCCTACTTAAAGACTACCTCTTGATGTTGTATTGGTGCATGATGCAGCCTTTTTTCCCCCCATCCGAAGGTTACATGAAGAAGAAAAGACTGGGAAAAGGATCTACCAGAAACTCAAGGAATCCAGCTTAATGTCCCAGGCAGTGGAGCGTCATTACTTAAACAAGACACTGATTGAGAAGATGTTTGGGGGTAAAATGATGACAAAGATCCGCTGCTTGAAGTGTCTGAATGTCTCCTCCCGGGAAGAAGCCTTCACAGACCTGTCCTTGGCTTTCCCCCCATCGGACAGGCACATCCGTAGGAGCACATCTGTTTTACCTGTGGAAGAAATCGGCCCACAGCTTATTGAGCCTCCTGAAAACCCAAGCCAGCTTACGGGGTCTCCTTGGATCCAGAGGAAGGCCCCTATGGCCCGAGAACCTGCAGCTCCACCAATGCCAGTGGAAACATTGGGTTTCCAGGAGCCGGGAGAAGTGGCAAACCCCTTAAGTGGCAATGCCATTGGCTTGGATGCAGCCAAAGACCCAATCTCATCCAAAGACTCTAGATCCGTCCCGGATTTAATCAACTATTTTCTATCCCCGGAGAGGCTGACAGCAGAGAACAAATACCACTGTGAGAAATGTGCATCCCTGCAGGATGCTGAGAAGGTGGCAGAGCTGACGGAGGGTCCACACTACCTCATCCTCACGCTGCTCCGGTTCTCCTTTGACCCACGGACTATGAAGAGGAAGAAGATCCTGGACAACGTCTCCATCCCCGTGGTCCTCAAGCTTCCCATCCTTGTCGCCCCAGAGGAATCCAAGGAGGTTTGCTGGCATGGGAAAGACAGGGCTGCCCCAGGAAGTGGCTTCATGTCTGTTGTGTATGACCTCTGCAGTGTGGTGGTGCATTCAGGCATCTCCTCTGAGAGTGGCCACTACTATTGCTACTCCAGGGAGTGCACTGACACTGTCCCCCATGGGCAGCCCCGGGATGGGGCACCAAAACCAGCCTTTGACAAGCAGTTGGACTTTGAAATCCAGTGGTACCTCTTCAATGACACCAGAGTTTCCTTCTCCTCCTTTGAATCCGTCAGCAACGTCACCTCTTTCTTCCCCAAGGACACTGCCTATGTCCTGTTCTACAGGCAGCGCCCGGGCAGGCAGAGCTGCCTGCTGCATGAGGCTCTGGCCGAGGCGGGCCACCTGCATGGAGAACCTTCCCTCCATAAGGACTTGATGGAAGCCATTTCCAAAGATAACATCCTCTACTTGCAGGTAACTCCCTCTGCTGTGCACAGCAGGGTGCAATCCTGCAGCTTCCCGGCTCACGGGCTGCATTCCCAACCATCCGGGTTGTGTCCTGTGGGTAAATCTACACATGCGGACACCCATCCACTTCCTGAAGTCAAATCCCTTTCCTTTTTAGCACCCAGGTATAAACAGGTAGTAGTTTCCTGATGAAACTGGGTGTCAAGGTTGGTGCAAGGCACCTCTTGGTTGTGCGTGGGGTTGACTTGCTGTTGCCTGCCCCAAGGAGCGCTCCTAAGGGCCCGAGAAAGATGGATAGGCTGGGAATACAGACTAGAACAGATTCCATTCAACTGGTGGAGTTCAATGCTTTCCAAACAGCAGTGTCCCGTAGGACATGAGCAGCACCAGGGAGAGAGTCCCTCCTCTCCCAGCAGTGACATGGAAGGGCTGGTTTTGATCATTGGAGAGGCCCAGTGCTTTGCTGCTCTAGAGATTAGCACATGGCCTTCTCACCCCAGTTTAATTTGGAGGAGGGCAACCCAACAGCCTCCCATCTCCTTGGGGAGGGTGGGAGCATCCGCCTACCTGGGTCATTTATCCACAGAAATCCTTACGTTATTTCTCCCTCTTTCTTCTCCCAGGAGCAGGAAAAAGAAGCCAGGAACAGAGCCGCCTACATTTCTGCCTTGCCAAAATCCCCACTGTGGTGGAGAGACTTTGACAGGGATAAGGATGATGACAACTCCTCGGGGGGCTGCAGCCCTGCGGCGGGTGGTGGTGGATCCGGCTCCTTTCATGGCCTCGTCTTCTAGCCAATGGGTTAAACCAGATAATCGATGTCCATGGGGACAACCTGAAGCCAGAGGTTCCTCTTCCTCGCCTTGATGACAGTGAGCATCTTGGAGGAAGATTTAGAGAACATTTAAATGGAAAAGGACTCAGGGGTTGATTTGGAGGCGCCCGGAGGTTCCCACTGCTTCCTATGCACTTGGTCTTCACGCCTTAATGTAACTAAGCTAATGCAGAGATGAGCAGCTGCTGACAGCTCGGAGAAGTGCCCTTTTGCTTCAGCATAGCCGTGTCTTGCCCGCTGTGAGCCATGCCACCAGCCTGGGGAGAGGATGGGGACAGGGATGAAGATGGACCCAGTGGGGCAGGGATGGAGATCTCCCAGTGCACATCCCGTCTACAGCTGTGAGTTGGTTTGGGGGAGACCTCTTGTTGTTTGTCAGTTCTTTTAATGTGGTTTTGAGAACTTGACATACCTCTAAAGGTAGAAAAAGGCTAAAAAACACCAAGCAGCCAACATGGCAACACTGATCTTGTGGGGTGGTGAGCTTGTAAACCTGTTTGGTCACAGTGAGCAGTGGCAGGTCAACCCAGAAGTACAAATCCCTCCAGCCAAGAGAGACTGATGTGGTCTGGTTGGGTTTCTAGGTCTCCAGCAAAGGCCAGTTGTGTTACTGGTGACCTCTGGATGCTGTTAGTGATGCTGTTGGTGTACGCAACAGGCCCAGATGCACAGCTGTTCTTCCAGATGTGTCTTTAAGACTCAGCCTCTTCCTGCTGCTGTCATCTCACGGCTTTCTGGGCTGGATCTGCCCTTTAAAACTTGGGCTTCCCACTGGAATACCTGGAACTGAGCAGCAAATGACAGCCACCCTAAACCCACTAACCCAAAAATGCTGATTTAGAAGGAGAGAGGCCCAACCAGATATATTCTATCAACCCAGTATAAATACAAACTACATAAAGCAATCTGATATATAAATCAGCAACGGGACAGGGGTGATTTTGGTGGCATGTGACCAACCCAAGCCTTGGGCCATGTGGCTATAGGACCACAGCTCCCTCCCATGTCCCTCGCCAGCCGTTGTCCCTGCCTGCTCCTCCCTTGCGCCAGTAGTAGAGATTTCTCTAGCTCAAGTGGCAGAAACTTGTGCCTTAGGTCCTGTGTGCAGGGCCTAATCCTGACCATGGCGTATTGGGGTGGGAATATTGTATTGCCATGGAGGAAAAGGTGAAGCACAGAGGTTGTTACAGATAAGGTGAACAGAAAGTCTGCTAGAGAGGACACTTGGGATCAGATCTCTGGCGTGTACGATCATATTCTTTTATTGCCTTTCCTATATACAAATAAAGGAAATGAATGAATTCAACGGAGAGCCTCAGTGTCTTGTTGCAATACTCATAGCTATGGGTTCGATGGGTCAAAAAAGAGATGGGAGATGGGCATTCAACTTCACATGCATGGGACAACACTGCAGAGTGGTGCCTTGGAAGACGGGAGCAGGCAGTGGTGGGATGGGGACCTGCAGCCCCTGAATGCAGATCACAGTCCTATTAGTGGGGGTTTGTAGTTGAGCAGTGGAACGTGTTTGTTGTATTTAAGTCCATTATACTTAAAGTGACGCTAAAAGGAAATAAATATGGACCCAAAGCTGAAGTTATACAGAAAGAACAGTGTTCCCTGGTATTATTAATAGACCTTTATGAACCTCCTGTCCCAAGAGGTTGCTGAAAGCTTTCATGTTGCTGTCATTCCAGCTCTTTGCTTTGTGCTGGAGAATCACCTTAGAGGCATTTTCAGGGCCATGTGCTGAATGTGCTTTTGCAGGAGACTGTCTTGATAAGATCCTAATCTAAACAATCAAAGCAGATAATCAACCCAAAGGACCTGTTCTTGTGCTTAGGTTTTATGGGTGATTTGTTGTCCTAAACTGGAGCTCATAGGTGCCGAGCTGCTGATGGGTAAGGAAGGCAGCGCTTCCTTACTCTGCACACACCAAAGTGTATCTCTGGAGGAGATATATAGTATGAAATTCACTTTAGCAGCTCAAAACACATGGTTTGGGTTCTGGCATTAGGGAAAACACGTAACTGCATCCTAAATGCCTGCGTTCTACAGACAGGAAGCTGTAGGATATACTTGGCGACACTGTGAAGATGCTCTGGAAGCATTAAAGGTGCTGCATAATTCAACTCGATCAGGTCATTAATTCCCCCTTTCTCTTCCCACTCCGAATCCATGCTGGGAGTCACCAGCGAGAGATGACTTTATATTACCAGTCTTTCATTTCCCTGTTGCTTTCCTGCTGCATATACAGTACTTAAAAATGAGATCACCTTCACGTCAGGCATGTACCATGTTTATTAACAGCAAAAAAGTATTATCTAGGCTTCACTCAAGACCAATTTACAGGATAAATAATTGTTTCAAATTACTTTTAATAAAAAAAACCAAACAACAAAACCCCAAAGAATAAATTAATAACTTAAGTGATTAGCTGTCCACAGTGATTTGAAAACCAAATAACCATTCAAACAGTGACACCACAAGAAGACACGTACTGTACAGTTTGCCACAGGTTACTCTTGTCCTTCCTTCTACAAATGGAAAACAACAACAAAAAAAAGAAAGGAATTTAAAAGACTTCTCTTTAAGAACAGTCATAGGCTTGGAAACACACACAACATCCCTGCGGATCGGCTGCCGATGCCATGGCTTCCCAGCCAGGGCTCCGACCCCTCCTCGCAGCACGTTAAGGTACAAATAGAGAAAACTACCCTAATTTGGCTGGGTCCGTTCCCACTCAACCCAAAGTCAATGGAGAACCATTGACTTCACCAAGGGCTGGGTTGAGTGGGATGCAGCTACTCTAAAAGTTTGGTCCTAACCCTACGGGATTCATTGGTGAGCTCCAATTGGAGCCCAGGTCCTATTTCTATTTCCTCTCTACAACATGCTTCAGCCACCACATCCAAACAAAACGTGGTATTTCCAGGGCCAGTGTGGCAGCAGAAGGCTGAAACTGTGCAAATGGCTTTTCCCCTCACTCAGGAGAAAAGCCTGCCTAATTATTTTCCACCTCAGGAATTAAGGTTGAGGGTTTTTAATGGGTTTTGCAGAGCAGGATGTGCAGTGCCATGTGTGATGCTGGGCATGACAAGAGGGTCACACCACGTGCTGCCTGGCTGTTGCATGCAGACTCAAAGCAGCTCTTTGCGTTATTGGATGTCAATTAATTACACCCCACAACACATGTGTGACTTGGGGAAGTAAGTGCTAAAAACCTTGTTTTTACAAGCTGGAGAAGAAGTGGGATACAGAGTTCAAATGAGCCCCCTTGTCCTACCTGGCGTCACCCAAAGAACAACAGTAAAAATGATGGATTGGTGCCTCTCCCATATAGTCAACCCACTGGCCTACAACTGAACACATTATATGTTAGCAATGGGCTCCTTCGCTGGATTGGAAGTAAGTCCATTGAGAAGCTCTTTTAGCTCAGGAGATGGGGCCATGTGGCCCAGCTTCTGCTGCAGATGTTGCCAAAACTATGTGGCAGGACTGGCTGGGCATGGGTTGGTGGGGACAGAGCTGTTTGGTGACACCTTGCTATGTATCAGCTTTTCTGAGCAGCAGACACTGAAGTAGCAACCTGATGAACAGTAATACTTTAGGAGTTGTGAACAAGGAGATCAAATTGTGTCTGCAAGGATGAGACACCAAGCACAAGCTGATGGAGGGATGAACGGCTCCAGGCTAAGCAGAAACAATGACGACAAGGTGCACATCTCTACCTGCAAGAGCCTCATTAGTAGTTGTAAGATCATTGTGTACATGTGGGCAAGTTGGTGCTTTCTGGGCAGAGGCACACAGGCTTGCCAGAGGCCACAAGCTGGTTTCTTGGCCCTTGTGATTTGATGCTGGGCTGGTCCTTCTGATTTTCTTGATGGCTTTTTGATGGCCATGCCTTTCCTCTGGCTGGTGCTGGGGTTAGGCTCTGCTCTTTGCCCTTTCCATTTCAAGCAGGGCTTCTCCATAGGCACAGCCCCACTGCAGCCACCTCATCCAGACAACATCCCTTCAATGGACACACAGTGGGTGCGTGTCAGCTTTTACATGGAACAACATCACCAGGTGAGAGAACATCAATGCAATGAAACCATGACTTCAGAAAACCATCCTCTTACTCAACTCTTAGGACAGGAAGATCAGTCAGGATCTGGGAGCTATTTAAACCTTTTCCTACCAAATTCCACTACCACATAAGACCTGGGCATGGCTCTACCCCTCCCAAGGAGCCATGCTCAATGGATGGCCAAAGGAACCCAACTCTTCCCACCATGCTCAATGGACTGGGACAGGGTGTAGGGGCTGGCATGGGGCTGCAGAGAGCTCTAGGTCAATGTCTATCCTAAGACATGTGCAGGTTCAAGCTGTCTCCCAGTTATCTGTGACCTGGATGACTTGGTCTGGGCCAGCCCTCTCCACATGCAAGGGATGACCTTAGTGTGAATTAGGTCCGCTTGCTGGGGAATATGGGGTTAAGCTGTGCCTTGCCACTTGGCTTCATGGCTAGAGAAAAGGCCCTGGCCCTGTTTTGGATGCTGCAGGCCTATAGGCAATACCTCTGGCCCCTTTCCTCTCATGGAGGAGTCTCCACTCAGCACCAGCAGCATTGGGTAAAGGGTGGGGAAGAGATACCTCCAGTTCCATACCCTGCTCCAAGGAGGGTCAGCTATGGGGTTGATCCACCTTAGTCTTGAAAAGCTCCAAGGTGGAAGTGGAACCCTGTGGGAAAACCCTGTAAGTCCTGGGAGCAGTGGGAGCTCCCCTCCCATCAGTGCATGGCTTTTACTGAGCAAAACCCCACTCCACAACCCACAGGTCTCCATAAATCTGACTCAGGACTCATGCCAAAGGTGAGGTCCAAGACTCAAATCTTCCTGCCAAACTCCTCTGCCCTCTCTCCTCCCAGTCTCATGTTCCCCCATACATAACCCTTGACAGAGGCTGGTGACCCTGGGTCCAAACCCATCCCAGTCAAACCAACTCTCAGCTACCTACTGGTTTTGGCCCTATCTGCCTGACACTCAGCTTTGCCCTGGCACAATCTGCACTCACTTGTATTTTCTTTCTCCAACTTGAGACTAACCTATGCCTGGCATCTATTTGGAGCTGGAAATGTATTTCCCACCCAATGCTTAAATGTCAGTTCAGAGCAAATCGGCTCCAGGGCATCTCACACATGTCACCAGACAGAGGAACCACAGAATCATAGAATCATAGAATGGTTTGGGTTGAAAGGATCTTAAGATCATCCAGTCCAACCCCCTGCCATGGGCAGGGACACCTCACACTAGACCATGTCACCCAAGACATGAGCAGCAGTCGCACACTCACAGCAAGGGATACACACTTTTGGAGACTTCTGCCTTCAAAACCACTACCTTAGTCATTTTGAAGCCTGGGACAGCTTTAAGCCATGGCCCTGGTACTTCATAAAACTAAATATTGAGGTCATGATGCTTGTTCCACAGACAACCTTTCTTCATGAGCCCACACACACATGCAAGCACATCCCTTTTCTTCAATGGGACTCAAGAGCTGAAGAGCTGGCTCTGATGGGAAGACTCAAGCCATTTTAATGGCAATTAAAATGAACCATCTGCAGTGTTCCCAGCTTCTTAAAATACCTATTTCTAACAAAGGAGTCAGTCGTACTTGAGCATCCAAATATAGAATGGATGTGATAAGCTCCATGCCTTCAGGACAAAGTTCTTGGCAGTCCATGTAATTAAACCAGCTGCTTTTCAATACGGTTTAAGACTAAATACTGCACAAACATTAATCATCAGGGACTGCTGTAATCAGCTTGGCAACCGTCAAGAATGACTATTTCCACTGCAGCCATTGATTACTTAATAGATTTCAGGAAAGGGCTGATATAGTCCTCTCTGTATGACAGTGCGTAGAGTCTATGGACTTTGTTTGGAGGGGCCTTTTGCTTGGTGCTTAGCAGGGCAAAAAACCAGAGACCTCCTTGCAAAGCAGAGAGGAACCAGCAAGCAGCAGTTGCAAAATAGCTACTTTTGGGCTGTTTTGGCCCTTGGTCTGCCAAATGCAAAGGGCCAGTTACTGGGGATGCTCATGAAAGCCAATCATCAAAACAGAGAATAGAGCTACCCCATGCCAGTGCTTGTCCCATAAGCAAATACAGACACCTGTGGGACATGAAGAAAAGGGACTAGTTTCTCCAGTACCATGAAGGGCTTTTCCAATCTTAATGCTTTGGATTAGATGTGAGAGCTGGCATTGGATGCACCTTGTCCCATCTCAAAAGCACAAGGCGTGACTCAGTAGAGAAACATCACGACCCATAGTGTTGCCTCTCAAGCCATTGCACCATCAAATGCCTGCTGCTGCTGCTTCCCCGTCACCTTCTGACTTTCTGAGTACATTTGGGACTTGCTGAGCTCCCCATGTCCCAGGTGGAGGAAAAAACCTCAATCTGAGCACAGACTATCACTTGATTTCGCAAGGTTTTTGGTCCAGTTCAAGATCGTTTTAGCCTGGAACTAATTGCACCGTTTTACAGAGCAAGACCCAAAGCAGCATAAGGAACCATTCCCAAAATTCTGGCTGCAATCCACCCCAGAGATAGCTGCTTTTTCATGTAAGAGGAGGAGAACAGCACGCTTTTGGCAGGGAAATACATCCAACGTGCACCATAACCCTGCTCCCCCAACCTCATCTTCCCTTGTGTCCCTCTAACAGTTTAGAGGACGGGATAGGAAAAGAAGAGCTTCCTACTTGAGTCACGTTTGCTTTATGGTGGGGATGGGTGATCACACACTTCAGTGGGCTCTGGAGCAGGCCCAATGTTTAGTCTCCCCTGAGATGCGGTGATGAAAGGGGCTATAGAAATATGAAGCACTGAAGTCTGGTCTTCATTTCATTATCTCACCATGCAAGCTTGCAAGCCCCCAATGACAAGCAAGGACCCTTGCTAGCTGTAACACACTCCCTGGCCTTCAGAAAGCATCTGGTTGTGCTAAATCTTCCCCTTTGGGTCTTTTCTCCCCCTCTCTACTAGATGATTATTGTTTTTACCATAAGCATTAGGATATTTGCTTCGTTATTCCTGTAAAAGGCCAACAGTTCGATGTCTTAAAAGGGTTGTCAGAGCTTTGCCATTATTATCCTTCCCTTTCATGGCATGCAAGAAACAAATACAAACTGGTGTTGGAAGATCAACACTTACTTTACCAGCATGCAACCCTTAAGGGACCAGTATCCTATCCCAGTGTGGGTCACATCTGGCCCTTTCCAAACCCAGACCAAGATTAAACAAACGTGTTAACACTTAAGCTTTAATAATCGATACAACTTGGTGGTTGGAACATAGAGCTTGTGGTGGATCCAGAGCTTGCATAGAGCTTGTAGAGCTTGTAGAGGATTCAACTTGCAGAGAGAATAGCTCCAGCTCTTTAATAAATATTATTACCTAATCTTTCTAATGTCTCCTTCATTTGGCTCTTGGTTTGTAGTTGGCCTGTTTATTCATGTCATTGCTGGCTGTCTGGCAATCTGGCTGCTCCACGGCAATCATTAGTTCTTCCTGTTTTCATGAGATCATGAATTATTATCTCTGCAGTAAACTGTCTCTTCCTTCTCTGCACTCTGTCCCCGGCAGCTGCCTCGGGAGCGATCCCAAAGCCTGGATGTGTCAAGGATGCTGGCAAGGGGCAACAGCAGATTCCCACCCCCATAATTAGAGCCCAGGGTCAACAAGCCCCATTTCTGTGTTGAAGCAACACTGACGAACATGGGGAGAAAACATCTGGTCCAGCCCTTTGTACCCAACACCAAACCAACCATAGCGCTACATGAAAGCTAATACTGAAACACCTTGCTCTGACTCTCCTGACCAGCCTCTTCACAAGCCTAAGGCCTCCCCATCAACCAACATTTCAATTACCCTGCTCCTTTCCTCCGGGATACACCCCACTGGAGCTCCTCATCCAAGACAACCTCTGCAGTACAGCATCCACCTTCTCCCAGTCTTCACAACAGCCTTCCACTCCCACCTTGTCACTCATCCTCACACCAGCTCAGATATACATGGTCTCCAGAGCCTCCCTGTATCCCTGCGTTTAACCACAGAGTTTCTGATGATGGCCACAGATGTAGGACTCTCATTCTATGGGCTTCGTTTGGTGCCACAAAGGGCAGATTTTGGTTCTTGGGGCCAGATTCATAGGTTTCAGATAGGCAATGGGTCAGGGCTTAAATTCTACCATCCAAAGCCAGTATCTCCAGCCTGTTGACTTTGAGAGATGCTGGAGAGCATCAATAGCAGAAGACACCCCAACAAACTTGGCTGTTTTAAGCATGCATTCATGTGTGTGAGCATGTACTGGCATATCTGTGTGTGTACAGCAGGACAAGTCCTGGGCTTCTAAGTCAGCTCAATGGGATGCTCTTCAAGCTCCTGAAGGTTATCAACCACAACCAAAACCATGGGGGCTGTTCGTCCAGGAGGAGAAGAGCCCTCAGAGGTTTTGAACATACTATTTACAAGAGTTGGGACAACGCAAGTGATTTCAAAAGGAATGGTCCTTGCTTAGTTTTGGGACTGGGAGGAGGCAGAGAGAAGGGCAACCATAATGAGTGGGGAATCAGAGCTGGGGAATGAGAGATGCTGCAAACCTGCATGGCATGGAAGAAGACTGGGAGAGATAATGCAGTGTTAGCACGTACAAGGTGGCTTTAATAGCTGCAAGCAAAAGATGTGTAAGGTGAAACCTGGTATTGCTAAGTCGAAGTTCCTGGATAGTGCATCCAACAGCTAAAGCACAAACCTAGCCACCGAATGTAGTTGGTCTTTATCACTGGCAAACAGTATCTGCCAAATCTGCCCCTGAAATTAAGTTTCTTTTCATCTTAAAAAGAAAACCAATAAACAATGGAGATCCCCTCCCCTCTGCAGGTAAGTCTTAGGAATCCAGCCCAAGCACAGCTGGGATTTGCCTGCTTCACTGCCTGTCCCAGGCGCTACTGCTTCGTGCTCTTGGCGGGCTCTGAGGACTGCCGCACATCAGTCCACTCCTGCATGGTGCTCTGCAGCGCCTGTGTCTTCTCCTTGTCCACTTGCACGTAGTCAACCTTCTCATCCGAGGCAACCGATGAGGTGGAGGGCTGCGGGGAGGAGAAACATGGCATCGCCTGGTCACCCATCAGCTCCCTGCTCTTCCCTCTTGTTCCTTCCCATAACAGCATCGTGGAAGCTACACAACCACCAGCATCTCCCCTTCTTTCTATAGCTCACCATCCTCCCCCTAACCTCCCAAAGGGCCTTGGATGGAAGATTTCAGTCTGCTCTGCATCTCGCTTGCATAAGGTGCAGTGGTAAGGTAAAAACAGCACATGGGCTCTACCCTCATTCGAATCTGGGGCATGAGTGTTTGGTTGCAAATGCGAAACCTAACTGCTGATATTGCAAATTCAGCTCTGCACCTTGCTCATTTTCTTGCAAAGACCTCAAGAACTCTTACAGAGGTTTTGGAGGACTTGTTCTGAAGGAGGAAAAAGAAATGAATTCTGATGCTTCTGGGGATACTTCTTGACAGCTTTTGAATATACAATCTCCAGCTGAGTTTCGGGTTCCATCAGCAACCCTGGAGCTCTGCTCATCCATGTGGCTGGTAATGCTTCCAGCAAGGCTGCAGGCATGCTATACACTGAGTCTGACCAAGAATAAGCATAGCACCAGGTCATATGGAACCATGGAATGGTTTGGGTTGGGAGGAACCTTAAAGCTTATCCAGCTCCAACCGCCCCGTCATGGACATGGACAACTTCCGCTAGACCCGGTCACCCAAAACCCATTTAAAAACACATCACTTTTAATCAGAAGTATATAAACCCCCTCTTACCTTTCTGTGTGGCCCTGGTGAGCTTGGCTGGAAGTCCAGGGCCAGATAATCCACACTCCCCGAGCTCTTTTTAGGCGCTGGGCTGTTGGTGCCACTAGGAACAGGAGAAGCAGAAATGGGGTTTTGCTAATGCAGGGAAGAGACAGGAGAGATAATGAGGATTAAAATGGGAAGAAAGGAGAAAAAGAGGAATTAACACAAAACTGGCAATAAAATGCCTTGGTGGTGTTCTTTAAAGAGGTTCTAGGCTGGTTACTTGTTCACCTGCTTCTTGGACCAGGATATGCAGAACTGCTGGGGCCTACATATATTATAATATATAACATATGACATTATTATATATGACATTATTACATATAATATATAACATATAATAATATAAATGTTATGTATAACATAACATTTAATAGGCATTATATGTATTATATATTATATCTAATATATATTGCATATATAATATATGTAATATATACCTAATATACATTATATATTATCTAATATTTTAATATATAATATATAGCATATAAATATTTATTATATTATTAATATAATATAATAATCATTATATATATTATATATAATAGACATATGTAATCACAGAATCCCAAGGGTTGGAAGGGAACTCAAAAGATCATCTACTCCAACCCCCCTGCAAGAGCAGGGTAACCTAGATATATATATTTCAAGCTTACGCTCTTAACTTGATGGATCAGAGCAGTTCTGCTGCCTTCGTGCTGATGTTGTTCATATGCCTGACATCAGACATGGGCTTTAGCTTTCCACAGGAGCCACACCTCGCTGAGGCCAGAACAGCTCCGGGATCCTCACTAATCACAACCACGCTGCACAGAGCACAGATTTCCTCTACCCCTTTAGTTACATAGCCTCAAAAATATGTTTCAAGTCAGCAGCTTCACAAAGAGACAAATACCCTCCCTGTAAGCAGTGCCACTCCCTGCTGCTGCTCTGATAGCCCCTGCCCTCCACACAAACATGATGTCAGCAGCTGTTAGAGGGAAAAAACCCTGAAAAATCAACTTATATTAGGAAAATACACCCTGACAGCCCATAGATGATGTTATCCCTTCTTAATTCCTAGCAAAGCCAGTGATACATGTTCCCATTCTCATATACAGTTAATCCCCCAGTGGGACATGTCATTTTAGCAATGAAAGCCACTGTTTTGTGCATGTAGGGATGTACGTAAGGACGAACACCACATGGTGCTATCTGAGTGCTTCCATGTCATGAGCTAGGAATGTGTTTGTAGCTCTGGGGAACGTATATGTCCTGCCATATATCTTAGCTGTGGGGCCCTTACCATCGCCACGTAGTTCTCCTCGCTGTCTCCCGAGTCAGTGCTGGTGATGCTCTGGGAGGAGACAGGGCGACAGTATTGCAAAGAGCCGGCGTTGAAGGTCTGGCTGTAAGGACAAGGATCAATGCATTAAGGATGGTCGCGTGTGCTGCTGGTCCATTCCCAAGGAGGAATAGGAAAGGGTAGCACCCAAGGGTTCCAAACATCACCATGATCAGATATGGGGACTGGACATGCAGAGCTGGTGGCATTAAGCTTCTCCAACCTGACCTTTCCATGGGTCATAAATCGCTGGGTCTGGTCCTGTAATGCTTTTCCTTTCTAAGACTTCTTAACAACACCTTGCTTGCTGTGTACCCATAACCCTCCTGCTATCAGCTACATGAATCAGGCTCCATGAACTCTATTTGTCTCACAGGAAACATTTAATTGTGGAGCATGCAGGGCCAGCCTCGGTGAAGCTTCTCACCTCCTGCCCCACCACAGCTCCAGAATTTGTTTGCTCTGCAGGGCCCTATCCCCATTTTAGCTGGAATACAAAACCTCCGAGGCATTGTCTTGCTTTCAGTTGGCCAAATCTGATTATACCGAAGACCATAATGCAATCAGCGTCTGGCATTAAAGCTTGTGTCTTAAAAAGCTATTTGTTGCCTTGCAGTGAAGGCAGGGTCATATGATTAGCTGATAAAGGAAAAATCCATTAGCTTCTCTGGGGTCGGATGTCTTGTCAATCAAAGCCTGCTCTCTGTTTCCTGGTGCAGTGATTTCAGCACACAGCGCTCATGCCCTGCAGTCAATCTGCACACAATCCAATTTATTAGAGGAGTCATAGCAGCCAAACCTTGCTTCTGCCTTTCACTGGACAACATCAGGCCACGAATTAGCAGCAAGAGCTGGAACTGTGTGAATCCTGTTATTTTTGGCCGGCAGACTTTGCTCTGAAGTGCTTTGGCTTCATTTTGCAGGCTTCCTTTAGACTAAGCTTTGCTTTCAAGGCAACCAAAACACAGCTCGGTCAGACCCTGTGAGTCTCACTCTGCAGTTTGACATTACAGAGGGGGTTCTGGGGGGAAAGATGGATGGGAAATCATGCCCTGCACCTCCAGTGTGGCTGGGATGGGGTGGCGCAGCTGAGCCCTGAGTCGAAGTGGAGCACAGGACCTTTGTTAGAGCCACAGCTCTCCAGGAGCTGTCAGATCCCAGAGATAGGAAATGTCTTCAAGAGATCTTAATTAGCTGCTTGGCCACATGCTGGGCTTTCATGTGAAATCCCGACCTAAACAAATGTATTCTCTTGCCACCAGCTGTGATGTGGGAATGCAAATCTGGCTCTCACAACACTTGACTAAGCTCATGAGGGGCTCAAGACAGGGGCCACTCTGCTTCAACAACATGTGGACAAGCTCCTAAGTCTGGCCATGATGTGACCAAGGAAACCCCCAGACTGCCACGGTGTGGCAGGATGTTTTAGGAAAGAATTACTCCATAAGTGTCCCTCTTCCCAAATAACTCCTGCTGGTCCCCAGTGGGGGTAGTGTATTGGGCACGGTGGACTTTCATGCCAGCACAGATGTTTGCATGATGTTACAGCTCCTATTGCTAACACTGACAAAGAACACAATGAAGACTGAAGGGGTCATCCAGCTTTTGGGGGAATTTGGGTCTGCATCCAATGCCTGGGCTCAATTCAAGCTTGATTTAAGATGACCCATGAAAAATGTGCCCTTTGTAAAAAGAGATGGTGAGTCAGAAGGAAGCAAAGGAGCAGTGGACATCCCCCTTATACTCAGCCGGAGATGTCTAACCCATGGCAGAGGTGACAGTGTGTCTACGCGTGGACAAGAGCAAGATCAGAGATCTGCTGTTGGAGCACAGCAAGAATTCATACCCCAACCATTACTCACGTTGGCCTGGACCAGGATTTTGTGACTGGTGATTTGAAGGGAAGTTCATCGATGACAGTGTTGTTCCTCAGGTCCAATGGTGATGGCTTTGCTGGGGAAGAGAAAAGCCTTGATTAAGAGGCAGCCCATTCCCACAATTCAGCATCCATGACTGGCATGTCCCCAACAATATGCTGCTTGCTTCCCATTCTCCTAATTAGACCCTCAGCCTTCCATGCTGATGGCAAATATCCCCAACTAAACTCCCTGCATCCATTTATGACAGGACTGGGGGAAACCAGTCAATTTCTCCCTCTGACCCACAGCCCCAGAGTGGATGGGGGACCCCTAAAGGGGAATGAGCCTCCCAGGGAATAGAGACCTGCTAAAAGTGCCTTAACTCCCATTCATCAGGGAGCTGTGGTAACCCATTAGATGGGGACAAGACCAGGCTTTGAAAGTCCTGAGCTGCCTCTGGCCAGAGCATTTTCCCATAGGGAATGGGAAAGGACATCTGCAGTGTAACATGAAAGCTCTAAAGTTCTTCTCATCACAGATGATTCATTAGGTGGAAGAGTGTTGCACTCCAGCCCCAGTCCTTGCCTAGCACGTTGAACGGGCTAGGTGTTGACACATTAATGATGGGAGCCTTCCTTCTCAGCATCTTATTGGTGAGCTACCAGGCAATGGTTTGGGGTGGGATTTGGAGGATGTAGGCAAAGCCCGGAGGGAAGAACTAGAGCCAGCCACTAGGAAACAGAAGGAGAAACCTGGGTCATCTGAATGCAATGCAGAGATTTTGGGGTGGAGTGCAGGGAGGGGTGCAGGCAAAGGGGGTGAGATCCTGCCTGCAACATTCATCTCCTGTAAAGGCCAGGAGGGGTTCGAGACAGGCTGTTCAAGCACCCTGAAAGCTGCATTTCCACAATAGTGCTCCTGAAACAGGAAGGGGATGGGGAAGATCTGAAGGTCTGACTGTGCAGGTGGGAACAAAGCACACAGAATCATAGAAGGCCAGAATGGTTTGGGTTGGAAAGGACCTTAAGATCATTCAGTTCCAACCCCTGCCATGGGCAGGGACATCTCACACTAGACCCAGTTGCTCCAAGCCCTGCCCAACCTGGCCTTGAACACTGCAAGGGATGGGGCAGCCACAGCTTCTCTGGGCACCCTGTGCCAGCGCCTCAGCACCCACACAGGGAAAAACTTCCTTATATCCAACCTGAACTTCCCCTCTTTCAGTTTTAACCCCGTTACCACTACAGTCCCTGATGAAGAGTCCCTCTCCAGCATCCTTGTAGCCCCCTTCAGACACTGGAAGCTGCTCTGAGGTCTCCACGCAGCTTCTCTTCTCCAGGCTCAACAGCCCCAACTTTCTCAGCCTGGCTCCATACAGGAGCTGCTCCAGCTCCTGATCATCCTTGTGGCCTCCTCTGGACTTGCTCCAGCATCCCACCTAGGGCTCTACTTGAGTGTGCACAAGACAACGGGTGTAGTCTGAAGCATTACAAGAGTAGAAGGGTTCCTGGAAAGGCTCACCCACAAAGAACTGTTCTCACCTTTCCGATCGGGTTTGAGGTTGCGGTTGACTGGCGGGGGCTGGATCTCACTCAGCCGCCTGTGGCACTGCACCATGGCTCCTTTATGCACGGGGAGGGTGGCCGAGGACAAGCCCACCAGGTCAAAGTGATGCGGCCCAGGGCTCATGGGGATGTACAGATTTTGGGCATTGTCGTTGGCTTTCTCGGTGTGGATCAGGGGTGAGGAACCGGGGTTCATGGGGACGTAGTTGTCCTCAGAGTCAGTGCTGTGGGAGCGGCCCACCGCTGCCTTGGCTTGCTGGGGAGCAAGAAGGAGGATGTGCTGTGAGCATCAGATACTCCTCAACCCCATCCCACTATAAACCCATTCATCTCAGCATCACTGAACACACACACCTGAGGTGGGACCAGCTCTAAGATCTCAGCACAGTGGGATGGGGTGGACTGTCCCCTCCTTTGCCATCAGATAGCACTGAGAAGGTGTACCTTCACTGTTTGCAAGATGCTGAAACATCCTGAGTTCAGAGAAAGGTTTCAATCACCCACACCTGAGCCTCTTCTCATGATCAGAGTGAGCTGCAGAAGCACGCTCAACCTGGAAAGTCATTTTTCCCTGGGCTCTGGCCATGACTAAAATGCAATATAAAAGGCTGCTTTAATGTCATTTCCAGCTCAGGAAGTCTTAGAAAGCGCACAAAAGAGGCTTTTCTGGCAACACATCAAAATTCAGCTCAGCAGCATCCCAGGCTTTCAGGAAGAAGCCAAACTCCTGGGTGCTTTTTTGGGATCAAAGCTCCAGGCAGATACACTCTGTGGAAGCACCCAAAGCAAAGCTCTGCATGAGGTGCTGGGTTAGGTCGTTGTTCCTCCATCTCTACCCCCCAAGCCACCATGGTTTTAACTGTAACCAGTAATAAACCCTTTCTTGACTTAGGCTGCGAGGTCCAACCTGGAACCAACTTGCCTCTTAATCTATAAGGTGTAAACTGTGCCTATAGTGTGGCCAACACCAACGCCAACTCACCAGGTAGGAGTTGTACCCATCGTTCATCGACTCGACGGACTGCACAGCGCTGCTGCCTCCGTGCTGGGGGTATTCGTACGTCTCACAAGAAGAAGCTGCAACACAACCATAAATGCACGTGTTCCAGCTGATGATAAACAAAACCCAGGTACCGGGAGGGCAGTGTCTGCCCTTGGTGATGGAGATGCTGATGGGAAGGTATGGGTTTTTAGCCTGTCACAGACTCCCTGCTCTGCTCCTTCCCAGTTAGCATCTCTCGGATGCATCAACGCACGTGCCACGTGGACCTAACCTGGTTCTGTCAATGTGCTGCAAAATCCCAAGGGTAAAGATGTCAGATAAGGTATGTCATGGTGACAAAACTGGGTTAAGGAAGAGCTCTGTTACACCCCGCTCAGCAAATATAAGGGCTAGCAGCCTACAGTAAGGTGAAGATGGGGTGAGGATGGCGTGCTAAGCTCTTAGACTGATCTGTCTACTGCTGAGCATGGGTCTGATCTCAGCCTTAATGTTGGGGATGGAAGAGGCATTTCAGGGAACTGTGTGCATCATTCTGAGGATGTTTGCTCTCCAGCCACCTCCTCTAAGTTTCTTGGGACCTATCTCATCCTAGGCACAAGGTTTGGAAAGGGCCTGTTCATCCACAGACCATCCATGGCCAATGAGAAGGGATGCTGGGTCTTGGAGATGTGTGAAATTACATCCCTGGTGAGCAAAACCAAGGCAGGTCCAGGCTGAAGTAGGTTCTGACAAATCTGGTTATGATTTGAAGTAAAAGCAAGCTAAAAAGAGCTGAAATCATCAAAATGTGGCGATGGGGCAAGAAGGTTTGGGGTTTTGTTTAAAGTACAACACAATCAAGAGCCAGATGAACATCTCCAGCCCCAAAACCTTGGGGATCCATCTCCTTGCCTGTTACATACAAGAACCGAGGCCAGATCCTCATCGGGGAGACCTTCTTTGTGTTCAGGCCCTTGGTTGATGCCAACACCCACCCCATCCCTACTGCAACACAGTGATCCAAGGCAGCTAGATAGAACCAAGCCACCCCGAGCTCCTCACCCCCCAATTCACCTCGGTGTAACCTGCTGTTCTCCACCGCTGGCAGCGTGTTTCTCCTGGGAATGGTGGCTGCCATGGGGACCAGCCCTAAGCTGTCACCAGGCTGGGGCTGCTGGGGTGGGCTGCCCCACCGTGGCTCCATCTGCCCAGGTTTTGGGGGTCGTGGAGGGGGTGCAGTGGGCGAGTCGCTGGCGCCCACGGCCAGAGCGTTATGGTTCTTGTCCAGTGTAAATGTCCTGGGGATCTGGTAGACGGAATGCGGGGTGGTAGGGATGTCATAGGAGTCTGTGGAGAGCTCCCCAAACTCCTTGCATAAGGTGTTGTTGGGAGTCTTGAAGGTGTAGACCTCTTCGTTATCCGTTTCGGAGCTGGTGAGGCTCGACTTGGGGTGCGTGTAGGAGCCGAAGGAGCGCGGGAGGTCGTACGCACTGTCCCTGAACTCCGAGTTGTGCCGGCTGGGTTTAGGCAGGCTGTAAAAGCCATGGAGCTGCCCTCCAACCCCGTTCACACAGTGCCCGTTGCCCTGGGAGAGCTTCTGGACCGCCGTGTCGCTCCGCATGAAGAAGGCAGATCTCGTGGCTTGGGAGAAGCTGGCGCTCCTGCAGAGGAAGGGGAGAAAGGGGCTGAGATGGGGGAGAGTGAGTCCTGGGGTGCACCGAGCTCTGCTCCCCCTGTTTAGAGCCATAGAATCACAGAATGGTTTGGGTTGGAAAGGACCTTAAGATCATCCAGTTCCAACCCCCTGCCATGGGCAGGGACACCTCACACTAAACCATGGCACCCAAGGCTCTGTCCAACCTGGCCTTGAACACTGCCAGGGATGGAGCATTTACCACTTCTCTGGGCACCCTGTGCCAGTGCCTCAGCACCCGCACAGTAAAGAACTTCTTCCTTATCTCCAACCTGAGCTTCCCCTGTTTCAGTTTGAACCCATCACCCCTTGTCCTATCACTACAGTCCCTGACAAAGAGTCTGGAGGTGCTTGAATCGGCCATTTAGGACTTTTCCCTCTCCCATCCTCAACTCCTGCCACCACGAAGCATCTCCCCATCCTGCAAGACTTGGGGAAACATGAGAATCATTATGGAAGTGCTGGGAAATGACAGGAGGATGCAGCAGAGCTGAGCACGGGTGATAATGATGCCTGTCAGCTGGCTGAAGCAGCATGGAAGAAGATAATACAGCAAAGCCCCCAAAAAGAGTCACTCTGCCATGAAGAGCTGCTGCATATGCATCAAAAGAGGGTGATAGGTAGCCTTGGGGCTGGGTCTTTTTGCTTTCAGTTGTAACTGTGGATGTGGTTCTCAGCAACCTCCTCTAGTGGAACGAGTCCCTGCCTGTGACAGGGGATTGGAACTGGATGAGCTTCAAGGCTCCTTCCAACCCAAACCAGTCTATGATCCTAACTATGCATGGGTCAGTCTTTTGGGGGCCATTCACATCCAGAAAGGGCTCAGCCAGCCTCATTTAAACATCTCCCCACAGAACCGTTCTGCCCTGTACCACAACACTGGGATAAAATGCAATGGTTAGGGGGAGTGTTCCCAGTAGTTGCAAAGTGCCAGCCCTATGGGAAGAGCTGGGAGACGCTGGTTTACACTGCTCTGATGGGGCTGATGCTCTGCAGGGACAACTCTGTTCCATGGAGCCAGCACGAGATGGCGCTCAGAAATAGGGCTTATTGGGTAAAAACCAAGGGATGCTGTGAGATGACAAACAGCCCCCTGCTGCCCTTGGAGCTCAGTCCGCCCGGGAGATGTTTGTGCTTTGGCAGGGTCCTTTTGGCTGAGGACTTGAAGCATCTCACGGGTTAATTACTTAGCATTGCCCACCAATTAGCTGCTATTACCCTCATTTTCTGGATGAGTAAAGTAAGAGCTCGGGAGCTGAAAGCAGAGGGATTCCCAGTGGTCCTGCAGGCTGGCCCTGTGCGCTGGGTATTGATCAGGGTGATTAGTTCTGGTCCAGCTGCAGAAGCTGCTGCCGGCCAGTTTGTCTACGCCCATCAAAGCATCACTGCTTGCTCCATCCTCCAGGTCCCAGCCTGGGGTCTCAGTGGGTGGCTTGTGGATACCCACACAGCTGGAGTGTCAGAGAGCCTGTTCTTGAACACTGCGCCATTAACCCCATCTGAAGTTAGTTTTGCTGAGCCTTTCTCTGTTGTTTTTGTGTAGGGAAAGGCAGCTGCAGCAGGAAAGCCCAGCGGAGGCTGCACCCCTGGCTCTGCTCTCACCCTGCGCCAGCTGGGATTTGACTGCCTCTCATTCCCTGCCTCCTTCCCTCATTCCCCATCTCCTCGTCGCTCCTGCGAGCCAAAACTCTCCACGCCAGGAAGTTCTCCACGCTATTTAAGGCAACTGTCTGGGTCTGGAGGAGGGGAGCTGCGGCTCACTGAGATACCACACTGTGCACCACGGGATGCCACGGAGCACAGCGCGCTCTGCAAGGGATGAATGGCAGAGCGGTGCAGTCCCTGCACATCCCTCTGGTTGTGGTTGTCCTTGTAAAAGGTGGGAATTAGGGCCCTGTCTGCAGGATCACAGTGGTCGAGGGTGGAAAGGACCCCTGCAGACGCCAGCTACTCAAGATGGGCCACTTAGAGCTGGTTGCAGGTATCCAGAGCTGAGGTTATTTCTCCAGCCTGTTGAGATCCCTCTGGTGTTATCAGCATGAGCCCCATGTATATCAGCTACCCATCCGAGCTTGGTGTCATCAGCAAACTCACTGAGGGTGCACTCTGCCCCATAAACCAGACTGTTAATGATCATCTTCAAGGAGTGCCATGGAGATGCTGCGAGGGCTGGAGCAGCTCTGCTCTGGAACCAGGCTGAGAGAGCTGGGCTGGGTCAGCCTGGAGAAGAGAAGGCTCCTGAAGGGGAGACCTGAGAGCAGCTCCAGTGCCTGAAGGGGCTGCAGGAAAGCTGGAGAGGGGCTTGGGACAAGGGCCTGTAGGGACAGGCCAAGGGGAATGGCTTGAACCTGCCAGAGGGGAGACTGAGCTGAGCTCTTAGGCAGAAGCTCTTCCCTGTGAGGGTGCTGAGGCGCTGGCACAGGGTGCCCAGAGAAGCTGTGGCTGCCCCATCCCTGGCAGTGTTCAAGGCCAGGTTGGACACAGGGGCTTGGAGCAAGCTGCTCTAGTGGAAGGTGTCCCTGCCTGTGGCAGGGGTTGGAGCTGGATGAGCTTTAAGGTCCCTTCCAACCCAAACCACTCTGTGATTCTATGTCAAACAGGACTGGACCCAGTATTGACCCCTGGGGTACACTGCTAGTGACTGGCCTCCAACTAGACTTTGTGCCAATGATCACCATGTTCTGGGTCCAGCCATTCAGTCAGTTTTCAATACAACCCAGAAAGCCAGGAAAGCTGGGAACTTGGGTTGTGGCCACTCTGACCTCCTCCTCCCAACCGCAACGGGATGAGCCCATCACTCAGAGCTTTCTTCACCTGGGTTTTGCATTTTTGTCCCTGCCCATGGCAGTGGGGTTGGAACTAGATGGTCTTAAGGTCCTTTCCAACCCAAAGCATTCTGTGATTCTATGATTCTATCACTGTGGATGGAGGCAGGTTGAGCCGCTCACCCCAGCCCTCCCTCCTCCCTGAGCTTTGCTCCCAGACTCCAATACCTTGCGTTCTCCGACTTCCTGCTCATACACTGGTGGAGGAACAGGTAGTCTTGGGGGGCACTGGCTGACAGGGTGCTCTGGAGGTGGCCGGCGGGCGAGTCGAAGGTGAACAGGGTGGGCTGGCTGGAGTGGGATGGTGCCGAGGACTTGCGCTCCCGCAGGAGGTGGTGGCTGGCACTGCTGAGCTCTGCCGGCGAGGACCGCGGTGCGTGGTTCATGGAGGCCAGGCTCCTCAGGGTGTCTGTGCGGGGAGAGAACACACCTTGAGAGGATGCACACAGCGACCACACATCCCCTGTCCCCAGGGTTTTCCTTACTTAAGTGCTCCAGCTTTTACGCAGGTTGGTGGGGTTTGTGTATGGCTTTGGTTGATGCACTCAGCAGCAGGTTCTGCTTGGAGCACTATAGGTACCTATGCAACTATAGATACCATGTAGAGAAATGAATATCTTACCATATTTTAAAATATTACCATATTTTATCATGGTTTAACACATGCTTAGTGCCCTGGGGGGATGTATGGGCGATGTCAGTCCAATCCACAGGGAGCCCAATGGGTTGTTAGACTTAAAATCTGGTTACAAAAAAAGAGAAGAGCTTCCACGCCACAGCTTCTGTGTCTGTCTTTGCTTAGAGACCTTTAGTAAGAGGCTTTAGAGATGTGATCTCTGGCAGTGTTCAAATCCAGGTTGGACATAGCATTGGGTGCCATGCTTTAGTGTGAGGTGTCCCTGCCCATGGCAGGGAGTTGGAACTGGATGATCTTAAGGTCCTTTACAACACAAACCGTTCTATGATCCTCATCCCTTTGCATAAGGACATCACTGCTATCTGTTTGCAGTTGGGTAAATGTGAACGTAGACAAACATAATAACAGCAGAGATGAAAATCATTCCCACGTTCCCCAGTTCTCTATTATTTTCATGATCTCAGAGGAGTTCCTGCTCCTTTCTGCTTGTAGAACGCATGCAGACCCAAGGCTTGACTCCTACTGCCTGCTCTTCAAGATGAAATACACTTTCAAATCTTAAGCTCATCTCAATGGAATAACAACCCAGCAACTCCAGCCTTCTGTAAGAGTGTGCTCCAATAACTTGAATCCTGGAAGAATTTTAACTGCCAAGCTGTAACCCCCGTTATAAAATCACCCCAGAAACCCCACAAATGGCAATATTTGGGAAAGTTGATCCATTTCTGGCTGCAGAAGAGAATGCATGGTCACCTTGCCATGCATGCACTCCTCGCATGTGAAAACCCCTCATCATGATTCACTGAAGTCACCCTTTATAATAACTGCGATATATACTTACTTGGTGCTAATGGACAACACAGAAAAAAACCAAAATCTAACAAAAAAGCCATTTTTCCTTGGGTAAATCCACCCATTTTCTGGCCACTGCTGATCTGGGGACTGCTCCCGGGTTTCTCCCAACACAATTCCCACCTGCTCTTCAAATCTGTCTTCAGACACCCATAAAGGAGCCTGCTCCGACACTGGGACAATGGGGATTTTATAGATTTCCAACCTCTTGTTTTTCCATTCCTTCCCTCAAATCCCACAGATTTTGGGTCTGACTGCAGGGAATGTGTTCTCTGGAATGGCTGTCACGGCTTGGAAGAGGAGCTGCTTCACAGGGTGATTTTTCACTGACTTCTGAATGGTGTCAGGATGCAAAATCAATGCTGCTCCTTCACAGCCGGTACATTTTTTATCCTGGTGTTAACTGCAAACTTCACCTGATGCAGAAAAAGTACATTAATAAAAGCCAGAGAGCGTGGCTTCACTCTGTTGTTTGGTCTGTGCTAAACACAGAAAGGATCAATATTTAACATTGACATTAATGGCGGGGGATGAACTTAAAACTCCCATTCCTGTCTTCTTTGCATGGGCATTAAGTATCCCTTGGTGCTTTTCATGGGAGTAAATGGCCATCTCTGTGTCCTTGGACAAAATGGTGCCTTGACCCTCATTCTTATTAAATATTTATCCTGTAGTAGTGCAGTTCCCCATTGGAAAGGAGTCTTGAGACCTCTGCGAACCCCAGATCTTAGTCCCAAATCAAGTGCTTTGAGTTCCATCAGCATGGTAGAGCCTGTACCCCTGTTCCTATCAAAACCAGGGGGGCTGCACCCGAAGTGCTTCTCAGGAACAGCCCAATGGTCTTGCTGCCTCCTGAATCAAGGTCAGGAATTGCACATCACACCGGGCTTTGGCCAAGACTCTTCCAAGGATAGTATGAGGATGGCAGGGTAATGATGTGTCCCCATACCAGCATTAAGGTCACCTCTGGGGACAGCTATGAACTGTGCTGGGTTGGGGTCCCTCTACCTTGAGCCATCCTCCAGCACTATCCCTGCAGGCTCCATGCTTGCCATTACATGGAAAATCTGTGACAAGCCAAAATACACCCAGGAGTTAGAAATTACACTGATTTATTTGTGCCAACACAGCCTAAAGGGACAGAGAGGGCTGCACGCAGGAGACTGTCCCCAGCATCACCCTAGAGCCCAGCAAATGCAAACCACATCACTTTGAGGAGCCCAGGGAATCCCGCACTGCCAGGAGACCTGAATCTTCTCCCCAAAAGCATCCTGATGTGGGGAAACCAGTGGGAAAATCACACTCATTGAGAGGAGGATGAATTACTTCGTGGTTACTCTGACCATGTGAAAGAAAAGAGGAGATGAAGGGGAGCAGGCAGCACTACCCAGTAAAAGCACATTGCTTCCCTGGGGGAAGCCATTCTATTGGCATCCACATTGATTTTCAGAATGAATTCCCAGCTCACTTCCCACAAGGACCCAGCCACCGAGAGCATTAGCGGAGCCGATTCAGGACTCGTGTACTCCATTAGGTCTGTGAGATGAGCTCCGTAATAACAAGTGAGAGATGGATTGCTTCGTGGGGCTGGGAGAGGATTGCAAGGGCTGGGATGATAAATCCTGTGGCTGCAGAAGGGGATTGCTGAGATTACTCTGTATTTTTTATGTTGAAGGCGGGTTTTGCAGTAGAAATAAGAGCAGCTCCTGTGCCCAGGTCACACAGTAATGATGGGTCTTGGTGGGGGAAGAACAGGAGGCACAAAAAGAAATTGAGTCAGGAAAATAGTATTTGATGACTAGTACATGCTAAAGGTCAAGATGTTTGTGCTCCTCCATTGGATTGAAACAGGAAGAGTTTTCCATAAGAGTAAGGCACACAGTGAGCCATAGGTCCCAGAGCTATTTCAACTTGCCATGCTGCAGTGCCCAGCTCCCAGGCAATGAGGACCAACACTCCTTTCCCATGGCCATGTAGGACATTCAGTGAATAAGCTCCAGGTGGTCCCATTCAGACACCTCCAAGCATCAGTTCAACCTGCATCATGACCAAAGATGCTCAACTCAATCTGACATGAGCCATAAAGAATGACGCTTCTCCATCCCTCATGGCCATGAATAAACTCGTGGCCCTCCTTTATTTAACAGCATAAACGTAGCCTTCAAATCCCTTGGCTTTACATTGAGAACTTGAGTATATGTTGACGGAATGTCAAATAGAGCCAAGAAGGGATAAGATCTTGTTCCAGTTCCTATTGCCATTCCCAGGGGGGCAGAGTTAAGGTTACGTAGTGAGGCCATGTGGGAAGTGTCATCTTAACCCACATTTCCTGGCTGGCTCTTCTCCGAGTTTGGGGAATTGGACTCTCACGGTCTGGAAAAGGCAGTTTTGGGACACCCACAACTTAAAACTCAATGTCAGCAGCATGAGCACATCTCACTGGGCTTGTGCTACAGATGTTGTGCTGGCCCCTGTGAGAAAGCGAGCCAAGAGGCTCAGTGGGGACAAGCCAGCACAGCCCTGCAAAACCCTGTGGTGCCAGGCCAGCTGGAGGCTTGGCACTCACTAGTCCAGGTTAAGATGTGCCTTTTGGGCCATGTTTTGCAGTAAAGAGGGAGAAAATCTCCTTGTGACTCCATCCCCAAAGCAAAGATACACAACTGCGAGCACACAGCCGGCAATGGGATGGGCTAGGCTGGGAGCCAGGAATGTTTTATGGATGTTTTCAATCCCCCAAAGCGGTATTTCCCTCCTTGCTGACAGTTGTGAATTCCCTTCTCAGAGCACTGGAGTATTGCTGTGTGCACAGGGCTTCACACCATGTTCCTGGACTTACCTGAGAGAAACAATTACTCAGGCTCCTTTGGAAACTGTTGCTCAGAATGCCCTTTTTCACCAGAACCCAGTCTGCCTTCCCTGCTTGAAGGCAAAGGCTGGGACTACAACTCGCTATATCCCATGGACTTGAAATGATGCCCATAGGAAGGCAGCGATTTTTGGGTCAAGCTCCCATCAGTGTTCAAGGCCAGGCTGGAAAGGGATTGGAGCAACCTGGTCTAGTGGAAAGTGTCCCTGCCTGTCGCAGGGGGTTGGAACTGGATGACCTTAAGGTCCTTTCCAACCCAAACCAGTCTGGGATTCTAGGGTTGTTTGGCATCCATGAGCATCATGGAGTTCTCTGTGATGCCCACACTGTGCTGGTAAGGATTGAGTGGTCCAAGGGGTTTCACAGATAAGGTCTTCTCAGTTCTACCTTGGCAAATCAGGCCACAAACCACCTCAGACCATGTCACTGACTTCATGGCAGTTAAAACTTATGACCAATGAGGGAATAGTAGAAATCTACTAGAAATAATCCCTAGGAGGGCACAGGAGTGCTGTCATCTTCCTCACTTTTTGGAGCAGCTCCATCATTTATTAGCAATAAAAAGGGGGAACCTTCTCCCATGGGAATCCGCCTGCGCCTCCGCTTTCGCTGCCAGCTCATTCCTCCAGCACAAATACAAAATAATAATGAAAAAAGACAAACAACCCTACCAAAACATCCCTCCCTCTGCTTCTCCTGGCAGGGAGAGAACAAACAACACGTCCAACGGCTGATTCACCATGCCATTGCGCTGCCAGGAGGCCCTGGAATGACATGGGGATGAGAATGGTACCCAAGGAAGGTTTGTTTATCGAGCTTGCCCTATTGCCTCTGAATTGGATGGCATTTGGAAAAGCTGTTGTCAGTCTAAGGATGCCTTGGATGGGTGCCTGCTAAAGGTTTCCTCCAGTAGACTAGTGGGAAAGGGCGTCTGGTTGGGATAATCTCCCCTCTCCGGTTTCCATCAGGGTGGGAACTGTGTGCAAGGACACAGGTACCCCTAATATTCAGCATTGGCTTTATTTTGGGTGCTAAGCAGGGGGAATGGAGCTCC